ATCTGTGTGTGTATATGTCAGTGTGTATATCGGTGTGTGTGTGTGTATGTATCTGCATATGTGTCTGTGTATCTGCATGTGTGTCAGGTTGTGTATCTGTGTATCAGTCTGTGTGACTTTATCTGTGTGTCAGTGTTTATATGTGTCTGTATAAATGCATGTGTGTCAGTGTGTATATCTGTGTATCTGCACGTGTTTCAGTGTGTGTGTGTGTGAAGGTGTATATGTGCATACATCTCAGCAGTCACACCCCAACACAAAACACAAATACACCCCTGCATTCAAACTTCAACTCTACATACAAACACGCTCCTGCGTTGAAACATCAACACTACATACAAACAAACATCTGTGTTAAACATCAAAATTATATATAAACACACCCCTGCATTCAAAAACCAACACTACACAGAAATACATGCTTGCATTCAAACACAAACACTAAATACAAGCACATCCGTACATTTACACAAACATACTTCATATAAAAACATACTTACATTCAAACACACAAACACTGCTCAGTGCTAAATACAAACCTGCAAACATGGGTATATGGTAGAACCCCAGCTGTCAATGCATTGGTGATCTACCTTTTTGTCCCCCTTGCAATAGGGGGGCCCAAAAACATTCTTGCACCTCTTTACTTTAGTTCCAGCACTGCATTGGGGTGGATGGCGTGGTTGCATGCAAGGGAGGAGGGCATGATTGCACACAAGGGAGGAGGGGGGCAGGATCCAGGGGCTCAAGCAAATGCTTTGCCCAGGGTTCAATCAATAATAAAGACAGCCCTGTGTGTGAAAGGTGCGTGTGTGTGTGTGTGTGTGTGTGGGGGTGTAATGTGTGAGCGGTAAAGTGTGTGTGTGTGAGTGCGTGAGGGCAGCAGTGAATGTCAGGGGTGCAGTGTGTGTGTGTGTGTGTGTGTGTGAGGCTTGCAGTGTGTGGGGCAGTGTATGTATGGGGGGCAGTATAAGTGCGTGTGTAGCAATGTATGTGTTTGTGGGGCAGTGTGTGTGTGTGGGGGGGGAGACAATGTGTGTATTGGGGGGCAGTGTCTGTATGGGGGTAGTGTGTGTCTAGGGCAGTATATGTATGAGGGCAGTGTGTGTGTGGGGCACTGTATGTGTGTGAGGCAGTGTGTGTATGGGGGGCAGTGTGTGTATGGGGGGCAATGTTGGCTTGGCAGTATGTGTATGGGGTGGCAATGTATGTTTGTGGGTCAGTGTGTGTGTGGAGGGCAGTGTTTGTGGAGCAATGTGTGTATGGGGGGCAGTGTGTGTATGGGGGCAGTGATTGTGGGGCAGTGTGTGTATGGGGGGCAGTGTTTGTGGGGCAATGTGTGTATGGGGCAGTGTATGTTTGTGGGGCAGTGTGTGTATGGGGGGAAGGAGGGTAGGGAGGCTTTTTAATGAGGCTTTTTAATAATGTTTTTTATTTATTTAATAAAATAAATACATTTCTCGATCTCTGGTGGTCTGGTGGTGAATCCCTAGTGGTCCCAGTGGTGAGAGTGAATAGGCTGCAGGCTGAGCTCCCGGGTCCTCTCTCCCTCCCTGCCCTGCCGGTTGCCAGCAACATGTCTGCGAACTGGGGAGGGAGATCTCTGATTTCCCTTTTGGTCCTTGAAGTCACATTGCAGGGCTGGCACTTGGACAGTGCCAGCCCTGCATTAGTTGGCAGGGGAGAGCTTCGGCTTGCCTTGTTATCTCTGGGGGTGGGGGGCATTTGCCCTGTTGTCCCCCAAGGATCCGCCTCTGCAATTGATACTTATAATTTATTATAATTTGGACATCTGGATCCTAAAACCCAGTAAGGAATAGTACAGAATGTATTCCACATCGAAAAGCATCTCCAAATAGCATAGGATAGCTTGTTGGTTTGGTTATGACTCTTTTAAAACATGCTACAGGCTGCGCAAATGACAAAATTCTCTCTGGATTATGGGAAAGGAGAATCTCGTCAAAAAATGCAAATCGCAATTATATTAATTATAACCTTTATATTGTAAGATTGGGATCTCTTTGACATGATTAATTGCTCATAGGTGTTTGTTAACGTGTCGATAATTATCAAACATTACATTTTAACTTACCACTTATTTTCAGTTAAAAAATAGTAGGTTTGTGCATTCAGTTTGAAAAAAAAATGTCAGTTATTGCTAATTGTGGTTGATTGGCGATTAGTCTGAAATCTTGAACTCTGAAACACTATATGGATGAATCAAGAAACAAACAAAATGGGCAATGGATAAAACCTTTTTCTTTGTTTCTTAAGTCAGAATTCTTACTGTGGTGTAAAAAAAAATGATGATTGATGGTTAGGAGTCAGCCGCTTTATTCACAGATCAAAATCTATATTTATATAAAGTAGGGAGAAAAGTACATTGCAAAAAATATACATAATATTAATATTTCGTAGTACACAGAGAGGCCGGTTTTTCATGGCATTTTTGGTTTGTCCAAATAGTTTTTCTTCGAAAATATTGCATGAACGAAATTCATCCTAACTGAAATGCCACATGGAGGAAAACAGAATTGCCCCAAACTATTTTTATTTTATGAATAAGTTCAGACATTTACCGTGTTTTTCAAATACTCTTTGCATATTAACAGTATGAAGGGTTTAGAGACGGGCACCATAAATGTTATAGTCTGTAAATGCCAAGTTTCATAATTTAATTTGGGAAATGATACCTTGGGGTAAAGGTGCAAAGGCATATTTACTATTACCAGAGGTGCTCATATATCTGTTCAGTTTACATGTGTGGAGTTCCTACTATTTAAAAACAGCCTCATTTACAATTATATATGTAGGACCATTTACTAAAATGAGAATAACAGTGTATTTAAAGTGAATTTTAAATTTAAAGGAACACTACAGGATCAGGAATAAAAACATGCTTTTTTGACCCTATAGTGTTAAAACCACAATTTGGTGTCCCAGCCCCCTTTAAATATGGTTAAAACTCACCTTTATTCCAGTGGCACTGACCCTGCTCTGCCTCCTTGGTTGAGATCACAAGAATTGATGATCGCAGCCAATCAAATGCTTTCCCATAGGAAAGCATTGGGGGGCTAATGTGCACACGCTGCAAAATGTTACGTTGCGACAATCAGCATCTCTTTATAGAGATGCATTGACTCATTGACTCAATGCATCTCTACGTAAAAAGTTCAGCACCTCCATACAGAGGGTGGAGACACTGAACATCAGTGCTGCACATTGTGACCCAGGAAGCACCTCCAGTGGCCGTCTAAGGAGTAGCTACTGGAGGTGTCCCTAGGCTGTAATGTAAACATTACAGTGTTTACATGAAAATGCATGCAGGGAATGATTATACTCACCAGAAGAACTACATTAAGTTGTAGTTCTGGAGACTGTAGTGTCCCTTTAAGGCCAGATTAGCCAAACTGAAAGGATAGCTAACCTACATATATTTTCTGTTTGGCTATTTTGACAACTGTCACCTCAAAACTGTTTTGTAATATAATAGTCATCTCATCAAGTTTTGAGAGGAAATATATATATATTTTAATATTAAGTTTATGTAAAAAATTTTTTTTTAGAAAAACTCATTCCCGTAGTGTTTAGTGTTATGACCGATTTTTAAAGTGGAGAATTTGTCCAAATGGACAATTCTCCACTTTACAAATCGGACGATCCAGCCAGAAAATGGAGTGCCACAATGATATGGTGGAACATTATGGGTATAGTAGTCTCGAACATCAACTGGAAGTGACGTATCGTGAGAGAGTTTGCGCGTTACTTCCAAGTACACAAACAGACGAGGATCATTATGGAAGCACCGCCTTGCATCATACATTACCCAAGAAGAACGCATGAGGATTGGACCTCCCAAGAAAAGGGCAGAACTGGCGGGCATTTAAAAATGGAACCAGACACAGGATGAATTTATAGATTGAAAAAGCTGCTATTCCAGGAGAAAAGCGTTTCTGTTATTTATACTGTTTTTAATATATATTTTATTGGTAATAAAAGGTAATATACTTACTCTCTTCTGTCTTCATTTGCTACTTGGGTTCCAGATAGGGGAATGTCACCCCCAAAGTGACACTGTTTTTTTAAACTTGGAGCCAGTTGCTGAAATGCTCCAAGCCAGGTGAGCATTGCATTCAATCATATACTATTTTGAAAGTATCAGAATTACTACACCAAGAAGGCGTTTGTCTCTTTACCATTCCTCATTCACATTCACTTTATTTGGAGCTGCTGAAGGAATATCCCTTGAAGAGAGGTTGTTTGCCACATTAACTGCACAGAGGCTGCAGAGTTTAGAGCCTATATCCTGAAAAGGCTCTCAACATTGTGAGTTAATTTCCACTCACGTTTTTGTGTTTACTTACTACACTATAATTTCTTTCGGTTTTGTTTACATGTATTTGTAATCACTACAATTTTGAGAGTAAGTCCCTATTTCTAAAACTAAGCGCCACACTCGCACTTTATACTAGGTAGGGGTGTACCACCTAAATATATTGTGTATAACTCCTCCTGTAAGCCCAGAAAATGCAGCACTGAGCTAAGCATGGCTCACTGCTTGAAAGCACTCAATGAGCCTGCCCTGCATGGTAGGACTTGGTGGGGCTAATGGAAGCTCCTTGCAGGTGCTTCTTTAACATCCAAGTGAATGGCCATATTTGTTATACCGTATCAGCTTAAAACTGCATACTTTACTTCAAGACTGTCTTGGAAAAAATATTTTTTAAAGGTAATTAATATCCACTTTATTTTTGGGGATTGGATTTGATGAAGATAATTTTCCTTCAAGATAATCTTCCTTATGTTCACTTTTAAATACTTTTTCTAATCCAGCAAGAGAGAGTTTTTTTTACATCTTGCAGACACAGCAAGTGATCTTACTACTTAGTAGAAATTAAAGATTTTTTGAAACACGACCATTATACATTCACTTATTATTTTCCATCTTCTGGTTTGATCTCACCTTTGTAAGGTACTGCGTATATGGGAAAATTCATTCACGCCACACTAAAAGCAAGCATTCCTCTGGAAACAAATTCTCCACTACACACTGCCTTTTAGCCGATTGTAATATATTCGGATGACACCAGAGGGCAGCATACAACCACAGTCAGACAATTCTGAACCGCAATATGCTGTACCAAAGAATTAAGAAAATGGAAAAAGACTGTCAGTAACTTCAGTTCATTTGTGCGTATAATACAGATATAGTCTCTTTATTTCTTACCTTTTATATTTATAGTGATATACATATTTATATACATTGGGTTTCATAGATTTTCATAAAATAATTAAGCTGAATACAATGCAAGAATAGCCTAAATATGCCACGTCTGCCAGGGGAACTTGCTACGCCAAGATACTCTGGAAAGCCAAGAGAATGCAAATAACAGTTTTTCACCCACAAAAAGAACTGAATGCAGGGCCGAATTTCCCATTAGACAAAGTGGGCACATGCCTGTTGGGGGCTCCTACTCTTCCTGCTAAATTCTCTCCCTACCTCTCTATTATCTATTCCAGTGTCTGCTGTTTGCTTGCTGGAATAGATGTTCCAGCACTCTGGGATCACTGCATTCAGTCTGAGGGTGCTTGAGTTGTGCAATGTCTGCCTTCTCAGACTGAACACAGCACAGTGTTTACATGAAGGGAGCAGGACTGTGGGCCAGAATGGCCAACTCACAAATACCAGGAGGGAGCAGGACTGTGGGCCAGAATGGCCAACTCACAAATACCAGGCATATACACACACATACACTGCTACCTTGAATGCACACACTTCTACACATTGCTACTCATATTGCTGCCTACAATGTTACACACACATTACCCTGCCCATACTATCTACACACACATTGCTACTACCCACACTGTTAACTATATAATAGAAAAGAATCCCTAGGGCATAGGAAAGATGTCCATAAAATTTAAGGAGTTTAAGCCCTTCTGTTTCACTAAACAGAAAAAGGAAAATGAGGGGGGGAAATCCAATTTAAAACATAACTTTTATTATGATAATTAGAATAAAGGTATTATCTAATCACCTAATTCATTATCTAATTATATACTGGTGAAATAATGTCTCAACTAACTATCAACAAGTTGGAAAAACTTACTATTCAATAAGGTACCTTTATCTATCAACATAAAAAGTACAAGAAAAAGTACAAGCATAGAAAAAAACACTAATTGATAAAGTACATATATATATCCCTTTGAATCCCTTCCTGTGTAACCCCACACAATCACCAGGGGTCACTATTTCACTACTATCTTTTATTATGTAAGCCCAAAAACTGCCACTAGGGGTCTATGTTGCGCCGGTCGTAAATCTACTATTCCTATAGCCTATGACTAGTAATGTAACTATACTAACATAGTATAATACGAAAATCTACTCCAAAGGCTACATTTGAAGATAGAATGTTTCAATAAGAGTCAAACATTTACCAAGCTGGATCCCAAACAGAGACACTAGAGAGCAAAAAGCTGGAATGGCTGTTCCCTATTCTGGCCCTTGTCCGAAGGCTTAATACAAAAGGATTTCCCCTTATAATTTTCCAGCATTCCAGAACCCTGCATTCAGAAATTCCCATCAGGATATAGGAAGGAGAACAAGGACAAAATAAATACAGTGGTCCCGTTCTCAAACAAAATTTGGAAGTCGAACACAAATTTTGAGTAAAAAATTTCTTGGTACGCGAACAATCTTTGGTACCCGAACATCAAAAAAACGCTTACCGGGGCCATGTGGCTCCTCCAGCCAGCTGTCACCACATCCTCCCCAATCTCACCAGGTGAGAGCTGGCCAGCTAGGAGCCCATGAGTGCACACTCCGCTCTCACTGGGATTGCCTGACTGTGCTCGGCGACAAGCAGACAGTGAGCTCACCATGGAAGACAAACTTTCCCAGGACATGGACCCAGGTACCTCCTCCGCTTCATCATCCTCATCACCTTCCTCTTCAGGCTCAGAGACCCTGTTTGAGGGGGACCCCAAAACCTCAACCGAGGGGACCTGTACTGACTGTGACTCTGAGGGTCCCCACTCCTCCCAGCAAGGGGGAGCAGAGAGGTGAGCTGCAGGGGGGCAGGACAGAGGAGAACAAGAGGAAGAGGAAGATTGCACGTAATATAATTTGAGAATTATTTTTAATGCATACGTATAAATGTAAAATGCTGTAATTTTGGGGGTCTGGAACGGATTTATCAATTTTACATTAATTCTTATGGGAAACGTTGATTCGGTTCTCAAACAAATCGGAACTCGAACAGCCTTCTGGAACAGATTAAGTTCGAGTTCCGAGGTTCCACTGTAATGTATCCAAGCACTCGATGCGCATTTCACCTGCTACGCTAGGATCACACTATAGGAATACTAATTGTAGCTATAATACCAGCACAACAGAGACCCTGAGTGACGTTTTTAGGGTAACATGATAAGAGACAGTAGTCCAATTTTTTGTGCAATGATGACCCCTGGTGATTGTACTTTTTCTGTATTTGTCATACTTTTTCTTAAACGTGTTAAAAGATAAACTTATCTTATCGAATAGTATGTTTTTTCCAACTTGTTGATAGTGAGTTAAAACATTCTTTCACTTATCCTTGGGTGATTACATTATGAAAATATTAGAAATATTTATGTTTTAAATTTGAATTTTTTTCCACATTTTTTTTCTGTTTTCCCACATTGTAACACATACACAAACCGCTATACATGCTGCTAGCCACATAGTTACACACACACAAACATGCTGCTACCCACACTATACACACACACTGTTACAGACACACGACTTCACATGCTGCTACGCACTCTATACAAACACACACTGATACGCACATACACACATAGATATGCACTCAGACATTTATGCACACTGTTAATACATGCACACACATATACATGCACACAGTCACTCTATATGTGTGTGTATATTCAACAATATTTATCATATTTAAACAGTCAACTTTTCTTTTTAATAATTTGCAAAGGATTGGGGATTAGGGGGTGTTTGAAAATTTTGTGTCTACAGGTTCATGATGTAAATTTGGCCCTAACTACATATTGTATATAGGGGATTGAATGTACTATTGAAGTTGTTACTGCAGTGCATTATGGGATTATGTAGAGGTTATCTAAACTATTCTTCACTTTTACTGTTGGACTGCATTGGAAACATGCCCTTGTGCATGCAAGATACTGTAAGAGTAATGATTATAAGTGCAGTTTTCTGCCATGTTATCTGGTTATCTGGTTAGCAGAATTAAAAACCTCCAATTGCTTCATTTTACTTGTTTAAAGGAATGATGTCAACCTCTGCTCCTCTGCCATATAGTGTACCATATCGTGTACCATTTTATATAAGTTTCTTTAATGATAATTTCTGACAGGAAACTAACATTACTCCTGTAGTAGAAAACTGTAGGATACTAGTGACCTGGAGCAGAAAGTATGCAGGAACCATGTAACAAGTAGTTGGCTACTAATACTGCACAATCTGATCCTACCTACAGGACCTATAAATTCTATACCTTTCTAATATGGGGATTATCAAGTGTTGCAACAGGAGTGGGATCAACAACTTGTTTTCTTAAAATCAGGGGTGATACAAGTACTGTCCATGTATCACAACATTATCTTATCTGGGCGTCTAAACAGACTTTGGGTAGTGTAGTCTCATCTTCAAGAGAGTTTTGGGTCACTTTTCTAAGTACCTTATGCAGGATGTAACAGTGCCATGTCAAAGTTCTATAAGGGCAACAGCCACTATAGAAACTGGTGGAATGTTCATGCTGATCCACCTTCAGAACATTGCACCAGAATTAACTTTTTGTAAACAACTCCATTCTGATAGGAGTTACGGTGTCACTGTCATGCATTTCATAGTATAGGACAGGTGCCTTCAGAAAGCAAAAAAATTGATAAAAATCGATGCAGTGGTGCTATGGTTTATGTGCACAACAGGGTATAAATGCAGATAACAGGCTCCACAAACATACAACAAGGAGAGTGTAACTGACCACATTCACGAAGTCCTTACGGAGCATTTTCCTTGACGTTATCTTTTATAAAGAGCCAATGATCTGCTACTGTCAAGCGCATATATTATTAGAATATCAATGCTTTCTCACTGTGTTTGAGCTTTCTATGATATCTCAAAAATACATTTCTGTTATGTATACAATACGTTCCTTTTGCACTTTGTATTTTGTAAAGACTCATTTCATAGAAGCAGCACAGAAGAATAGATTAAAGCATAGTGTCATGTTTATGTAGATTTGTCACTATAATCCCCTTCTCATCCTGACAGCAACCAAACCTCACTATTAAACTTTTCTTTTTAATTGATTAATTATTCTAGTGCACATATTCACTTATATTAATTATTGTCTATCAGTGTTACACACTTAAGAAGGAATAGTCAGGAACTGACTGGGAAATTCCTGGTGTAGTGAATAGCACTGAGACCATTTGCAAGTTCAGAATGTGGGTGATTTGGTAGTGATGGTGTTCCGGAGAGCCAGTACGTGGTATATGCTCCTCAGTATAGTTAGACGTGGATGATGTCAGTATTACGCAAGCAGAGGGGTGTGTCTGGTGGGATAGCATTTCTTTGGATCTCATTTCCATCCAATCGTAAAACCTGCAGCCTGGAGAAGTTGGTGATGTCCACAAATGTACAGAAACTTTTGACAGAGAACTCTGCAAAAACAAAACAAACAATTACTAAGTTATTTCCGAGTCCTACTAGATCACAATATATGTTCAAGTGTTACATTAAAGGGGAACTGTCACTACTCTTGATGATAAATGTCTTCCTTGCTGTAAACTGACAGCAATTCAAAGTGAATTTAAAAATCGCCAAAATGAAAACATGGTGGCTTTGATTCTTTTTTCCCAATGTAGTAATCTTTTCCTAAAATTTCAGATTTATTATGAAATTGTACTGTAGTAAACAACCTAGAGTGTCTTATGTTCTTCCATTAATCTGAAATGGCTAGAAGAGTGAGTGAGAGAGAGATGGATTTAGTGATACATTCATGTTTAATAAATGTGGTCTTTTGCCAGATCAACTTATATTTAATTTTAATAATAATAATAATCATGCAATGTGCCTGGCCTACATTGTGGCTAACATAAATGAGATTTCACATACAGCAATCAAATATGGTCTTCATAATGGTAGTAGGCAGGGATTCCCCCTTTCCCCTTGCTTTATGTATTTAAACCCTCCTGATCAAAATATGTGATACCCCGTCCTTTAGACATTACCCTAGCAAAAATGCAAACTACGCAGATTATGTAATTGTCACGACAACTATATGATCGAGCACACAGAACTATGTAACATTTACATAGAACAGAAAAGCAGACAGAACGTAAACCAGTCCTTAGAATGGCCGGGTTAATATGTTGAAAAATAGAAAAGGTCAAATGAGCCAGAAATACACAAGATCAGAAGAGTCAGGAATAGCCAAAGTCAAATACCAAGAATATCAATAACAAGATCAGGAAAACGCATTTTCGGATAACAGGAACAGAAACCATGACAGGACAATGAGCTAAGGTATTCTGGAGTTTAAATACCCCTCCTTGGGCTGTGATTGGTCACAGCTTGGGCTCTGACCCCAGAACGTGCGTGTGCGTTGACGTCGTGACCTTTGCAGGTGGGGTGTGTGGAGGGGATGGTCGCCTGAGCGGGTCGGCTCCCGGCTCGCTGCTGCACAGGTAATTCCTTTGTGTAGTCGCACTGATCGGGTGTGACCACATGCGGCCATGAGCCGGGGGCCGTGACATAATCTTTATGCTTACATACCTGGACTCTTCTCTACCTGCCCTTTTCTTGATATTAAATAAATTTTACTCCTTGGTTGGATAAAAAGTTACAGTTTACATAAAGATTTCCCACTGCACACCAAATCAATTAATTAAAAATATATATCTTCGCGGTGGTGCCTGACACACAAGATGTCTGGACGCATTTTTATATAGCTCCTCCATATCCAAGCTAAAATAGTTGCTTTATAGCCTAATCTCTCCTCATAAGTTTGCTTGTATCTGCTTCAGACCGACTCTACCACAGCCTGCAAACTTACATGTCCAAATTACCATGTCTTATCGGTTATTTACCATGCCTTGTTCTGCGGCCACTATAGTGTTCCTTTAAGTTATGTAGTCAATACAAGCCGAGGTCGATATCAGGATATAGCGAGAGACTTACTTTAGCACTAACGTGTATTCAAATGCATATATCCAGATAATGGAGACAGGTTCAGGCACCAAGTTATGTGGTGTTGTGGAGAAAAGCTTGGAGACTATAGTGAGGCCTAATAGAAAGCAGTTGTTGTTGGGGGATTCTATCATAGGTGTGGAGATGGACAATGGAGGTTTTGTGAGATGTCTTCCCGGAGCTACTGCTCACAGTGACAGGAGACGTAATTGTAATATTGTTAAGCGAGCAAAGCAGGAAGGGGAATTGGATGTACTTGTCCATCTAGGGACAAATGACTTGGCTTGCAATGAGGTTTCAGAGGTAAAGGAAGTTTTTAGTGTTTTTGCCAATGATATACGGCAGGTTGCTTCCACACTGTCATTCTCTAAAGTTTTGCCTGTGCATAACACTCAGAACGACAGGCATATGCATATTAGGGACTTTAACTTGTGGTTTGGAGAATGGTGTCGGGAGCAAGGATTTGGCTTTATTTCTCATGGTAGCTCTGTTTGGAATGGAAATAAACTGTACAAAAAAGATGGTTTGCATCTTTCTCAAAAGGGAACAAATGTTCTCAGTGAGCAGTTCAGAGGTTTTGCTAGGATGTATTTAAACTGGGGGGCAAGGGGGGCAAAAGGGTGATAAAACATCAATCCAATTGCCCCCCAAAACAAGGACAGATGGTGCCTGTAGCAAGTGTGTTAAAAAATTATAAGCTTAGAGTCATGTCTACAAATGCTCACAGTTTAGGGAATAAGATCCATGAACTTTTGGCAATAATGGCAACTGATAATGTAGATTTAGTCGCTGTTACTGAGACATGGTATTATGAGAAAAATGATTGGGACATAGCAATTTTAAGGTACTCTTTATATAGAAAAGACAGGGTAGACAAGAAAGGGGGAGGGGTGGCCCTGTATGTGAAGGATATCATGAAATCTAGCCTAAAAAAGTTAGTGAGGTGAACATAGAGTCCCTTTGGGTTACGTTAGAATTTGGTAATCGCACAGTAACCTAAGTGTAGGTGTTATTTATAGGCCCCCAGGACAAATGGAAGAGTTAGATAATCTACTAGTTGAGGAAATAGCTAAAATAACAATGAAGGGGGGAGTTATCATCATGGGTGACTTTAATCTTCCTGATGTGAATTGGAAAACCAAAATAGCTGCTTGTGCCAGGAGCACACATATTCTAAACTCCCTACTGGGATTGTCTCTAAAACAAGTTGTTGAGGATCCTACTCGTAAAGAGGCCATACTAGATTTAGTGTTAACAAATATATATTTAGTATCAGATATTACTGTAGGTGAAAGTTTAGGATCCAGTGATCATCAGTCAGTGTGGTTTAATATAAGAACAGTGACTGAGTCACACCACACAAAAACAAATGTTTTTAGACTTTAAAAAAAACAGACATTTCTAAAATTAGAATATGTGTAAAGGAGTTATTATCAGAGTGGAGCAATTTAAATGGAGTCCAAGAGAAATGGGATTAAAAGTTGCACTAATTGAAGGCAACAGAAAATTGCATTAGGCTTGTCAGTAAAAGCAATAAATTCAAGAAACCACTGTGGTACTCCCAGATGTGGCCAAAACAGTAAAAAAACAAAAAGTTAGCATTTAGCAATTATAAAAATCCCAGAGTGAGGAAGACAGAATGATCTATAAGTTTAGGCAGAAAGAGACTAAGCAAGTTATAAAAGCTTCCAAATCACAGAAGAGAAAATATCACAGTCAGCAAAAAAAACGGGGACAAAACATTTTTTAGATACATAAATGAGAAAAGAAAAGTAAAACAAGGATTAGTTAGATTAAATACAAAAGAAGGAAGGTATGTAGAAGGGGAGAAAGGTCTAGCTGACTGCCTCAACGAATATTTTTGTTCAGTATTTAAAGATGAAAATGAAGGAAAAGGGCCTCAGTTAGGAAAAAGGACAAATGTTACATGTGAGTTTACAGAGGAAGAGGTTCTATTTCAACTGTCAAAAGTAAAGACAAATAAGTCAATGGGACCTGATGGAATACACCCAAAGTTATTAAAAGAGCTTAGTGGTGTGCTAGCAAAACCATTAACATAATTATTTAACCAATCATTCTTAACAGGAGCAGTCCCAGAAGATTGGAAGTTGGCGAATGTTGTGCCCATTCACAAGAAAGGTAGTAGGGAGGAGTCGGGCAACTCTAGGCCAATAAGCCTTACTTCAGTAGTTGAAAAAGTAATGGAAACCATGTTAAAGGATAGGATTGTTGAACATCTAAAAACACATGGATTTCAAGATCAGAGACAACATGGGTTTACTTCAGGGAGATCATGCCAAACGAATCTTATTGATTTTTTTGATTGGGTAACTAAAATATTAGATCAGGGTGGTGCAGTAGACATTGCTTACCTAGATTTCAGTAAGGCTTTTGACACTGTTGCACATAGAAGGCTTATCAATAAACTGCAATCTTTAAGTTTGAATTCCAATATTGTTGAATGGGTAAGGCAGTGGCTGAGTGACAGGCAACAGAGTGTTGTAGTCAATGGAGTATATTCGAGGCATGGGCTTGTCACCAGTGGGGTACCTCAGGGATCTGTACTTGGACCCATTCTCTTTAATATTTTTATTAGTGATATTGCAGAAGGTCTTGATGATGATACTAAGATATGAAACAGGGTTGATGTTCCAGGAGGGATAAGCCAAATGGCAAATGATTTAGGTAAACTTGAAAAATGGTCAGAGCTGTGGCAACTGACATTTAATGTGGATAAGTGAAAGATAATGCATCTTGGACGTAAAAAACCCAAGGGCAGAGTACAGAATATTTGATAGAGTCCTAACCTCCACATCTGAGGATAGGGATTTAGAGGTGATTATTTTCTGATGACTTAAAGGTAGGCAGACAATGTAATAGTTACAACACCATCTATTGACCAAAGTCTAGATGACAACCTTAATCTAACAATGTATCTCTTCCAATTAAATCTGGAATCCTTTAATAATCAGAACGGTCTTAATTACAATCTCCATTTAAAAACTTACTCATATCTGCAGTCATCATGGAAGGAATACATCTCCAAGCTTAAAGAATTTCTACAAGAAAGCTGGTAAATATGTTGGTTTTATTTAATTTAATTTAAATTAATACATTTTTACTAAAAGTAGAAATATACCTGGATATGGATGATCAGATTTCTAACTTTTGAAATCTAAGTTTGCTGAGGGAATATATGGTTCCACATTCCATTGCTGCAGGTGGAATAAGTGACCAATATATTTACTGGTAATTTGCCAGGTTTAGCATATCAAACCATAATCCAGAGATATTGGCTTATCTGAACTCAGCGATAGTTAATCTTTAATCATCTACAGTGTAAACATTTTGGTTCCATTATTATTTTGGTTACTGAATGGGAAAGGAATATTTTAACTGATTTTTTTTGTGAGAAATATTGTATTTGTTAATTGCAATATTAAAGGTGTTTTTCCTGTAAGCATTGTAGCCAGCAGTGAACGAGTTAACTCAGTGTGATTCAAACTGACAGAAAAAGTTATGTCTGTAAGCTGTGCTGTTGTGTGATGCCAGGATCTGTGTTCTGTGTTAAGGAGTGTCTAGCTGAAGCTGAAGTTTTCGTTAGTAAATCTTGTTGAAAATTTAATTAATGTGGAATGTGTTGCTATTGAGCTATCTGTAATTGTGTTATAACTGCAGCTGTAGTGTATACTTATGTTATACTTGAATATTCAAATATTAATTGTTACAATAAATAATATATATATATATATATATATATATATATATATTCAATTCTTTATTTTTGTCGTGCATAAAGATATAAAACATATCTGCCATGCCCCAACAGCATTAGCAAGCATTTTCAGATATATGACAATTTGAGGTACATGACAGAACACTGCAAGTCATTTGAAAGACCGTGCACAAATTTATTAAAGTATTGATTTAATAGAGTAGTAGTCAAGCTGTACTATATGTTTCTGGTCAGAATGCCTGGGTAAGCTAGGAAACATATAGTATGACAGACAGAGAGATTAGAACACCTAAGAGGCGCCCAGATACTTGTAACGTTTTAAGTTATATAAGCAGAGTGTGCCTATCTAACGGCATTGAGCTGAGGAATCACAATACATTTTAAACCAAAAGAGGAAACCATAACTGTAAACAAATACAATAAAATAGATATCGACAGTGGAGGTGTCAGGCAATGTTAATCAGGCGTGTTAATTAGAAGGAGCACAATGCCAGCTGGTAGGAGTTCAGGTTTCGCATCAGACAATGCCACTTTGGGGCTTAGCAGAGTGTTGTTTCAGCAAATCAGTTATCAGGCGTATGAGCACGCTCGTGGGCCTTGGTAGTACCGTGGGGGAGTGTAGCGATGAGCCCAGTTGTGGCCCCAGAAGTCCCTCTAGGATGCCATTCTGTCTGGATATTGCAGGGTGGATCCCACGCTTAAGCTGACCTGTAGCTAGGCTGCGTCCAGCTCCTGCCGACTTGTGGTGGATTAGACGTCTCCTCTGTTCTTGGGTTTGCCTCTGTCCTGTAGCCAGGTCTCGCCGCCGGGGTCGGCTTGGGAATTTTCTAGAGGGCTGGGTTTTCTTCTCTGGGACGTTGCATCGTTGCTGGTGCTCACTGACCCTGTTCTGCAACCTCCTCCAGAAGTCAGCAAATATTTTGTTCAACCTGGCTTCAAAATCAAGTTGTGCAGTGCTGGGGTTAACAAGACATGCGGTCTTCTCCATGTTGGATGTCTTTGAGAACTTTTCTCCCATTTCTAAGGGTTCGTACCCCTGGCTTGTTGAATCTCGGTCGTCTCTGAGGTGTGGATAGGGATCAGTCCCACTGGTCCAAAGGGGGGGAGGATGTAACGGGGCTGTTGCTTGAAAGTGGTTGCTCCTGTGCATTCCCAGGCCTGGAGGTTGGCCGCCCCTTCGCCGTGTTTGTACTAGGCCACCTCTGCCACTATGTGATAACAAAGCTCTTGACAAGGTGATTACTGGAGCACTACTTGTCAGGTAAGTCAGGAGTGCAATTGCTTAACTTGATTTATCGTGATTTAGTTTGGTGAAGATACAAAATACAATTTCCATCGAGATATTGGAGGAGCTCATTCACAATGCGTCTCTCCACCATAACAGCTAGGCCCCGCCCCCAATAAATTATATTTTTATAATCATTTGTGATTAATGTGTGAAATACTAATAAAACATACTCCAGGGTCTATAATAGGGGGTAACTCTTTGCATTAAATTAATCAAGGGGAACACTGCCAATATATCAATTTTTTATATAATAAAAATTATTATTGTTTTTTTTTTTTTTTATAATTTTTAATGTTTATCACTCCATAAATATCCTCACAGCATAAAGCATAAAACTACACAGGCAATGGGAGCAAGGTTGTACTACAGATGAGGCGGTAGCTGGCTTGAGCTAAGCTTTGGATATCATGTTTTTGCCAGCATAGTTTTGTTTTCTAAACTCTTGTCAGACAGTAAAGTCTGTAATAACTATAACAATTTCAGACTTACTAGACCTCTCTCTGTGTCTTCAAGCATATAAATAACTGTATGGGTGTTAACACAGCATTCTGATTTCTCAGATTCCAAATTCAAATGACTTATAACAAAATCCCTTCTGGTATATGTTAACTGACAATGTACACCAATTGCTGCAGATGTCAGTAATAAGCACCAAGACAAAGGAATATCTTGCCATACTTTTTTTAGATAATTTCCTCCTTGAATTTTGTTTTCTTTGCACCTTTATCCTGTCTTGTTTTTTCCCCCATGGGCATTTAAATATTCTTTAGCATTCTCAGTGAGCATCATATTCACATTACACAGTGCAGTTTGACCCATGACTGAAATACTCCATGTAGCAGTGAGTCCTGGGGAGCCACTGACGGACTGTGAGTAAATCTGCAGATAATTTCACCCACACACTAATCCTGACAGATTTTGCTATTGTCTATGTGAACTTTGATTATTATTATGTTATTTATATAGCGCCATCAAATTCCGCAACGCTTTACAATGGGTGGAAGAACAGACATGTAGATGTAACCAGACAAGTTGGACACACAGGAACAGAGGGGTTGAGGGCCCTGCTCAATGAGCTTACATGCTAGAGGGAGTGGGGTAAAATGACACAAAAAGGTAAGGATAGTATTAGACTAGTGACAGTTGCAGAAGAGGAATCAGTCGGGAGCTATTAACAGTTTAATTGATATGCTTTTATGAAGAAGTGGATTTTTAACGATATTTTGAAGGAGTGGAGACTGGGTGAGCATCTAACGGAGGAGGGAAGCGAGTTCCACAGGAACGGTGCAGTCCTCGAGAAATCTTGAAGGCGAGCATCAGAGGTGGTAGTACGGATAGTAGACGTAAGTCTTCAGCAGATCGTAAGGTCCTAGACGGGACATACTTGTGTATAAGGGAGGATAGATAGGTGGGAGCAACATTATGTAGAGATTTGAAAGCAAGAACCAGAATTTTAAATTGAGCTCTATATCTTATAGGAAACCAATGTAGGGACTGACGGAAGTGTGAGGCGTGGGAGGTGCGGGCAGACAGGAAGATGAGCCTCGCCCCCGCATTCATTATGGACTGTAATGGCGCAAGTTGGGAGCATTTAAGACCAATGAGAAGCGGATTACAGTAGTCAAGACGAGAAAGGACAGTAGAATGGACCAGCACCTTAGTTGCATCTGGTGTTAAGTAGGGGCGGATGCACGCAATGTTTTTGAGATGGAAACAACAGGATTTGGCGATAGACTGAACATGAGGCTTGAAGGAGAGGTCGGAATCAAAGAGAACACCTAGGCAGCGAGCCTGCCTGGTGAAGCTGATGGTAGCACCGTAGATCTTGGAGGGAGACAGACACAGGAGTAACAACACTTGAGGGAGGAAAGACCAGAATTTCAGTTTTGGTTAAGTTTAGTTTAAGGAAGTGGGCAGCCATCCAGTTAGAAATAGCAGAGAGGCAATCAGAGACACTAGTCAAGAGGGACTGGGAGAGATCAGGAGAGGACAGGTAGATTTGCATGTCATCTGCATAGAACTGATATTGGAAGCCAAAGGAGCTAATGAGTTTACCAAAGGAGGCAGTATAGATGGAGAACAGTAGGGGACCAAGGACTGAACCTTGGGGGACACCAACAGAGAGGAGTTGGGGAGAAGAGGCAGAGAAACAAACACTGAAAGAGCGCTGTTAACTTCCATTGGCTGGCCATGGATAGCAGCCAGCCAATCATATTCTCTCATGCAAAAGATATGCGTGTACTGCCGGATCTAAGTGAGAAATGTGTCTGCAGATCAGTGATTTGTGCCTCAATTTAGAGTTAAAGAGGTTCTGTCACCGTCTGGGTTCTTTGCGTAAGCTGTGGGCCGCAGGTGCAGGGAAAGGTATTTTATGCATACCTGAACCTGTCTCTTTAGTCCAGCCCTCTTTAGCTACTGGCGGTTCAGTATGGCAATGCTGTTCTCTCAAGCATGCGCAACCATGTGATCTTCCATAGAAAGAGCTTGGTTTCCCTACAATCATCGCTGACTGCTTTGGGAAATGACAAACTTGTGAAAAGGTAGCTCCGCCCAGTGTCCAGCTTTGTAAAGCATAGGAAAAATACAAAGACAAATTAGTCCCTAGTTTGTCTCAGTGTAACTTTTGACTGGGTTGGAATTTCATTAAATGTGACTATTTCATAAAGATCCTATCTATTAAATACTATTTTGGAGGGTGGGGTGACAGAGCCGCTTTAATCCCCATTCACAGTCAACTGACACTAAGCTACATTGTTAGATTACTGTGTACAGAACACTCCAGTTAATGTGAACGAAGAAAAATATTGACAAAACAAAAGGTTGTTTTGGAGCACTCATAATTAGACAAAAGAAAACTCAATTTTACTCACTATGCCAGAATGGCTAAAATCAAAATACATTTACAGCTTTAGACTCTGATACATGAAAAAAAAACCAAAAACATTAACTTGGCATGTGAAAAGAAAAGGACCACAAGACTCCAAATATCGACCTTGAGCTACTTCCTTCCTTTGAAAACTGAGAGCAAGTGATCTGACATCACTTTCTCCCACTACAGCCGTGCTGGGGGCAGTCAGTACAATATGGGAAGGACCCCAGAGATCTAAAATGAGTTACATAGTTACATAGTTACATAGCTGAAAAGAGACTTGCGTCCATCAAGTTCAGCCTTCCTCACATTTGTTTTTTGCTGTTGATCCAAAAGAAGGCAAAAAAACCCAGTTTGAAGCACAATTTTGCAACAAGCTAGGAAAAAAATCCTTCTTGACCCCAGAATTGCAGTCAGATTTATCCTTGGATCAAGCAGCTATTACCCTACATTGAAAGATTATATCCTTGAATATTCTGTTTTTGCAAGTATGCATCTAGTAGCTGTTTTAACATCTGTATGGACTCTGATAAAACCACTTCTTCAGGTAGAGAATTCCACATCCTGATTGTTCTTACAGTAAAAAAACCTTTCCTTTGCCTTAGACGAAATCTTCTTTCTTCCAGTCTAAATGCATGGCCTCGTGTCCTGTGTAAAGTCCGGTTTGTGAATAGATTTCCACACAATGGTTTGTATTGGCCCCGAATATATTTGTATAATGTTATCATATCCCCTCTCAGGCGATGTTTTTCTAAACTAAATAGGTTGAAATTTGTTAACCTTTCTTCATTGCTGATATGTTCCATTCCTTTTATTAATTTTGTAGCCCGCCTCTGCACTTTTTCCAGTTCCATAATATCCTTCTTTAGAACAGGTGCACAAAATTGCACAGCATATTCAATATGGGGTCTTACCAGTGATTTATAAAGAGGCAAAATGATATTCTCGTCCAGAGAATGAATGCCCTTTTTCATGCATGACAATACCTTACTGGCCTTGGCCACTGCTAATTGACATTGCACATTGGTGCATAGTTTGTTGTCTATAACAATTCCCAAGTCCTTTTCGTGTGTTGTTATCCCTAATTCGCTTCCATTAAGGGTATACGTTGCTTGTGTATTCTTTACACTGAAGTGCATAGAGTAACAAGGCCCCAAAGCAGGACCAGAAATCTTATTGAAGTGCCACATGTACCCCCTGATGATAGACAGACAGACAGACAGATGGATAGATTGATAGCTAGTGTATACATGTGTGTGTAAATAAATGTATGTATGTATATGTGTGTATGATTATCGTCCTAGTAAAATGCTATTGCATTTAACATAAAATACTGTGGTGATGTGGCATAAGGTATATGGGAAGGTGTGCGTAAGGAACACAGTCCAGACTATAATATATGGAGTGGCTATGCAAACACACTACTGGCAGGAAGAAAGCAAAGCAGCAGTTATTCACATACCATCATGTGCTCCTGAGCCGTGCCAAAAAAAAAACACTTTGAAGAAAGGTATAAATGAGAAAACCAGCAGGCTTTCAAGATTCTTCTTGAACGGTTGATATAACTTCAGTTTTATTCATGTGTTAAAGTTCATGCCATATGTATTACTACATTCTTAAATATTGGAAATCATAATATAATGCTATTTAAGAAAGTTTATACAGATTTCAACTTGAAAAAGTAATAGCTACCAAATGATTGCTGCTCATTCCACCTGACTACATACATTCTTTCCAACATTCGGACCTGGCACTGCTCTCTCCTGGTTCTCTTTCTACCTTTCTAACTGTTCCTTCAGTGTCTTCTCTGGTTCCTCCTCCCCACCTTCTGTACCTCTCTTGGGGTTCCTCAAGGCTCTGTTCTGTGACCTCTTCTTTTCTCAGTTTACCTTGCCTCTCTTGGTGATGTGATATAATATGGCTTTTTAAAATCTACCTCTCCTCGCCTGTCCTTTCTCCCTGTATGCTGGATTATTGTCTTGGAGTCCTCAAATGCTCTCTATTCTCTAACAGGAAACTAGCAGCAATTTGCTGCTAGAAGTTGAGGTCTTGGGTTAGACAGCGACATGCTGCTCTCTATATGTCACTGAAGTACCAGAGGGTCATTAAACCTAGCTGGGCATCAGAAATTTTAGAGCCTCCCCAATCATTTTCTTCTGGTGCTTGGATTTTTAGGTACATAGGCGAAGATGCATTTTTCCGCCCCCACCCCCCCCCCCAAAAAAAAATCTTCACCTATGTGCCTCTTAACCAGAATCTCTCTTAGATCCCCTAAAGGAGCTTCAGTTTTCTGTACCCGGACGGACTGACAGGGAGTGCTCTCTCTGTGAGCACCTCCTGTCAGTCTGGCCAGGTACAGGAAACAGAAGCTCCTGTACCGCGCTGTGCTCCACTACACTCTGTACACACTGACAGTCACACACTCAATGACAAACACACAGACGTCACTGATAGACACAGACTCATTGATCTGACACACACTCATTCATTGACACTGACAGACCCACACTGATTGACACTCATTGACAGACACACTGATAGTCACACACAGACTCAATGACAAACATACTCTCACTGATTTGACAGACACACACTCATACACTGACAAACACACTCATCATACACTGACAGACACACTCATACACTCACTCACATGCACACACACTCATACAATCACTCACAGACACACAGACAGTCACTCACTCACAAACACACACTGTCACTCACAGACACACACACAGAAGCACACAGTCACTCACAGACACACACACACACTGTCACTCACAGACACACGCTCAGTCACTCAGACACACACACTCATACAATCACTCACTCACACACACACACTCAGTCACTCAGACACACATGCTGTCACTCACAGACACACACAGTCACTCACAGACACACGCTCAGTCACTTAGACACACACATGCACACACACTCATACAATCACTCACACACACACACACACACACACTGTCACTCACAGACACACGCTAAGTCACTCAGACACACACATGCACACACACTCATACAATCACACACACACTCAGTCACTCACAGACACACACACTGTCACTCACAGACACACACGCTGTCACTCACAGACACACACAGACGCACACAGTCACTCATGGACACACACACTGTCACTCACACACAGACACACGCTCAGTCACTCAGACACACACATGCACACACACTCACACACATGCGGTCACTCACAGACACACACACAGACGCACAGTCACTCACAGACACACACACTGTCACTCACAGACACACACGCTGTCAGTCACAGACACACATACAGACGCACACAGTCACTCAAAGACACACACGCTCAGTCACTCAGACATACACATGCATATACACTCATACAATCACTCACAGACACACACACTCAGTCACTCACAGACACACATCACATACATTTACTAATTATTTTATAAATACACATTTTCCACCCAGCCTCCCTACCGGGAGAGCTGGTGTGGATGATGGATCGGTCCCTGAGGGCTGGGGGGGCTGGGGCTGCTGAGAGGCGTGCGGCAGTGCTGTGATCAGGCGTGGCGAGGGAGCTCTAATCTCCACGCTCTGCTCCCTCGCGGGCTGCCTACTGATGCCGCGGGAGCCGGACTATGACGTCATATTCCGGCTCCCGCGGCATCAGTAGGCAGCGCGCGAGGGAGCAGAGGGTGGAGATTAGAGCTCCCTCGCCGCGCCTGATCACAGCACTGCCGCGCCGGGGGTCGAGATGGTGGCCTGGCAGGAAGGAGAGCTTTCCTCCTGCCGGTCACTGAAATATTGCGCCCCCAGAGCCCGTGCGCCCTAAGGCGGCCGCATGTGCCGCCTTATGGACGCACCGGCCCTGGATATATACTTGCCAACACAGATACATATGTACAGAGGCAAACACATTCCAAGACACAAATACACATATCAAACCAGACAAATACACAAACTCATTGTAGACCGTCTCCTTTCTCATTGGTTATGTTCAAGGCTGCTATCAGAAATCATGGGCATGCACACACATATAACAAAATAGAAACATACACATTCCCAGCCATACACATACATGGATATGTTCCATACTCATTTTTAAAAAAACACAGAGACACACAAATACACACCACCAGACACACATAAAGACACATAAACATACTACTAGACACTCAAATTCACATACATGGCCCACTCAATCAGGGTCTGGTGCTCCTCAGGCCAGATAGCTAACCCACAATCATCCAGTGGATGTACACAGATTACATCCATATGGAATGTTTATTTACATATGGACAACAGTAATGTTTCAGCTCCTTTGTGAGTTTTTCTCCATCAAAAAAGAAGCCTTTCTTGAGAAAGGCTCACACAAGATTGGCTTGTGCAGCTCATTAATGTAACCCGGTACAGGGGCGCCACCTATTGGTTAGAGTGACCAGCCAACACTATAAATCAATCATTAGCTCGCCATTTATAAAAAAGTACAATAGAAGAGAGGCAATTTGTGACGTGTTCCAGGGGGGCAGGAGAGAGTCAGGGGAGGAATTGCAAGTAAGGTTATGGAGAAAGGTAGTGTAAATGTACAATACAAGAGGACCAAGGATAGAGCCTTGGGAAACACCAACTGATATGGCTAGTGGGATGAAGTGGCTCCAGCATTCTGTAAAATAAAATATAAACCAGGAAAGTAAAGTCTCACAGAGTCCAATGTTGTGGAAGGTTTGAAAAAGAAGAGTGTGGTTAACAGTATCAAAAGCAACAGAGAGGTTGAGGAAATTTAAAAAGAGTAGTGACCTTCAGATTTAGCAGAGATTAAAGGACCACTATAGGCACCCAGACCACTTCAGCTCAATGAAGTGGTCTGGGTGCCAGGTCCATCTAGGGTTACCCCTGCAGCTGTAAACATAGCAGTTTCAGAGAAACTGCTATGTTTACATTAGGGTTAATCAAGCCTCTAGTGGCTGTCTCATTGATATGCGCTTCCACGCTTCTCACTGTGATTTTCACAGTGAGAAGACGCTTGTGTCCATAGGAAAGCATTAAGAAATACTTTCCTATGGACTGAATGAATGCGCGCGGCTCTTGCCGCGCATGCACGTTTGGCGGAAGAGGGAGGAGAGTCCCCAGCGGTGAGGCAGCCCGGTGATGGAGAAAGGTAAGCGTTTAACCCCTTCCTCTCCCTAGAGCCCGGCGGGAGAGGGACCATGAGGGTGGGGGGGACCTATTAACACTATAGTGCCAGGAAAACGAGTTTGTTTTCCTGGCACTATAGTGGTCCTTTAAGTCATTAATCTTATTTCAATAGAATGAATAGAGCAGAAGCCAGACTGAAGAGGGTTGTGGCGGAACCAACCTCGCCACTATGCACTGGAGAAGCCTGGTTGCCAGCCTCCTGCCATGTGACTATGGCCCCTGGGATGTATTGCCCTTTAAAGACATGATTTGGGCATAATGGATTTGTGTTGTGCTGCTGCTGGCCCTTTTAAGAACCATCTGGGACATACTGTGGAGTTACTGGGTGGCCACCATTTCCTGTATCAGAAGCACATGGTGAGAACAATGGATGGCGGCCATTTTAACTCACAGACACTGTGTGGACTTTTCAACACGGTGCCATCTCGCCAGTATTTGTTGCACAGAGACATCGTGCGGTGGTTTTGGACTATACAGCAGGGGACACATTATAGAGTGATTATTTTTTATTTAGCCTGTATATGTTCTGCAGAATCTGCATTAAACTGTATTTTCCAAAGTACTGAACGAATCTGGGCGAATTTTGGATATGTGGTTCACCCAGATCCCCCAGTTCCAAGGATATATTTTTTTTTTATGGGGTTATTGCATGTTTTGGGGTCCCTGTGATGTGTTTTATGAAACTGTATTTCTCTGGCTGTGATAATTAGATTACCCATTGTGTTCAGTAATCATATCACAGCCAGAGGGGAGGATTTTGTGTGGGAGTGTCTGGGTGTATTGTATGGATTGATTGGCTGTTTTGTAACGCCCTGTGGGCTGTACTATGTTTGTGGATTGGGAATAAAAGAGACTGTATGTGACAGTACAGGGAGTTCCTGTTTTAACCCTCAAAGTGAAGTGTCGTCTCATTATTGGGGGAAGGATTTATTGTATGCTGTTCCAGTTTGACTGCTAGGAGAGTAAACCTATTCGTATGGTTCCTATTCAACTGTCTACAGCATTCATATGCTTGAGAGAGGGTATACGCTTCTCTGGTTAGGTGATTGTGGCGTCTGCTGCAGTGCTTGGAGTCCTCAGGAAGCGCTAGGAGCATCTTTCAACGGAGGTACCCAGTCGGGGTGCCAGGCGATCCGTTACAAGGGTCAACTATGGAGTTAATATTAAGACGATGATTTAGATTTCAATAAGTGTCCTTAATTCATCTACTTTACAGTGCTGGAGAATTAGAGGTTCTTTACAAGTTAATGTAATAATAACAAGTCAGGGGTGTGTGGCTTGGCTGCTGAAGAAAATGGGCGCTTGAATTTTCTGTTTCTCAAGACCCTATGACAAAAGCAAGGTTTTTGCCCCACTAGTAGGGGCACCATGGGAAATCTACTAGGTCTTCTGGAGCAGGTAAGACCCCCAACCCCAGAAAGGGCCCACAAACATCCTCCCTATGGCAGTACCTAGTGAAGCCGACGGATCTGGCGACACCGCCGCTGGACTCGGGAAACTCCGCCATGTCAGAGGGCTCGGCACCACCTTCACTGAGCTCAGACTGAACCTGCTGACAGGGCTTACCGGCTCGAACTCATCCGAGTCTTGCCGACCAAATTCGACCTCAGGGACGCAAAGGCTAAACTGCGGTCCTCCAGTAAGGCAGACATACAGGCCTTGTAGGTGGAATTTCAAGGCCGTGCAGACCGTGTGGGCCATGTGGAGGCTGCCTGCTACATACTCAGGGAATCACAGGCAATAGTAGTGGAAACTCAGGATACTCATTCTGTGCTCATGAGAGGGATGGCCCTGCAAGTGGAGGACTTGGATAACCGCGGACACCGCAATAACTTCAGGCTTTGCAGCCTCCAAGAAGGTGAGGAAACCTCAGCCCAACTCCAAACCCATCTAAAAGAAATATACCTGTTGATCCTGGGCCGGGAAACATAGGTCCCCATTGAATTTGTGCGCGCACACCATGCCCTCTGCCCAAAGGGCCCTCCTGATAGACACCACAGGATACCTGCCTGACTAATTTTGCATTGAAGGAGGAAATCCTGAGACAAGCCAGGGATCGCCCATCTATCACCTACCAAGCATGCTCCCTGCAACTCTTCCCAGACCTATCCCCGGCTACCCTGGGGTATCACATAGTGCTGAAACTGTTGACCAGGACCCTTCAAACGCAGAAAATTCGCTACCGCTGGCAGATGCCAACAGGACTGCTGGTTTTGACCCAACCTGGACCCTTCTTGGTCTGTACACATGGCGATTTTGTGGACCTGGGCCGCGAGCTACAATTGCCTGCAATTAACATGCACTGGCCTGATCCACTGGATTTTTATGCTCAACCATGGCCACCTTACCCAAGGCCTGCATTGCCACAAAGACACCGTTGGGAATGCCAGAAGGCTACCCGTCCTTTGGGTGCATCTTGCTAAACCACCCTCTCTGACCGCAAGCTCCCAGCATATACCTGGTTAGCATGACGTACCTCTGAGTCCTTTTTTATTATATTTGCCTACACCGCTACCATGCACATAGTTCCTGATTTTATTTTGCATGGGCTTCCCTGATCTCCTACCATGTACCTCCTCAAGAACAGTAGCACTTATCCTACCCTTGCACCTGGGATGCGTCCCTACCAACTTATCTACTCAGAATTCAAGGGCCCAACATAACCCCAGCTATCACGACCTGTCTCTGCAGTGTGCTTGGGATGCACCAGTAATGCTGAAGTTTTTTTACCTTCTGCATTAATTTCTGGATCTCTCACAGGCCACCACTGTGATCGACACCCAAGGCTTATTTACACCACGGCCACGTACATAATTCCTGATCTGTACATTGCCTCACATTGACCTAATCTCTGACCAAATATCTCTAAAACCACTGTGGCATGTATTTTCCCTTTGAATCTGGGTCTCAATGCTGAACGACTTGGACTGTCGCTCACTGCCGACTTCCCTGGTACCGCAGTTCCGAGACTCAGAAGGCCGTCCTAGAGAGCTGATGGGTATTATGGAATGGCGGACTGCTTTCTCAGGGGGAGATTTATTAACGCAATACTTTGTTGATTAGGGAGGGCCTGACCCTCAGGAAGGGGCTGTGGAGGACTATTATACACACGCAACCCCACGGACACCACAAAACCCCACCGTGTGTGTGTGATTGCCATATAACAATACGTGATCCCCTGATGGACACTCCATAACCGAGAGGCCATCCTCCCTCAGGTGGCGACACACCCTTACCTTGTCTGGGATCTTAACCTACACGCACACCCACATGGGGGACTTACAGAGGATTGGGGCTCATCGCTGAGTTCAACCGGGTTGTGGGGTTGTGGGGAAGGCTACATAACCGAGTGTAAAACTCTATGTGATATGTTTATAAACTGAAGATTGTATTTTCTTTTTTTCTCCTCTCTCCTCTCTATCCCCTCTCTCTTTGGGCAGCCAGGAGTATCCACGCCACTTACATGCTCACAGATGCAGAGGATCCAGTTACCACTCTCAAATCCAAACACATCTAAGTTTCTAAGCTGCAGGTTTGACGTTCCCAGCTCTACCTGCCTCAGCACCTAAGATGATGGCCCAGACACATCTGGCCAGCCATGGCCACGCTAATGTTGGTCAGACGGGGAGAACTTTCTGTGTCACCCTTTACCACCCAGCGCTCCCACTCCAAACACACTGCACCAATCCACTTATCCCCTTGACTTAAGCAGAGGAGACTAGCTGTGGGCAATCTCCTGGCTGCTTGCATTGTTTCTAACTTAGACAAGTCAGGGGTCCAAGGATGCCGTGCAGGGTTCGTGACCAGGAAGCAGGCTTACTCTGTGCATGTTGCGACCCTGTCGCATACTGGGACATCCTTACAACATTCCAATACTCTGTGTTGTTGTAACTGTTCTACTTGATTTGTTACTTATTATCTGTTGACCAAGTGCCAACCGCATCCTCAGAGGTCAGTGTGTATAGACATAGGAGGGGGGACCTCTCAGTACCGTATCATAGAAGTGGGAGCCTCTGGCCCTCCCTACACTGGCGCCTTAATTAGGCTGGAGACCTAAACTGATCACGCTACAGTTTTCCCCCCACTCCATGCCTGTCCTTCCCCCCCGACACTCCCCTAGCCAACTTCCTACTCCATCGACCTTTTTTTTTCTCGCCTTGTTCTCTTTTCCTTCAAACCCATCTTTTTCTTTTCACCCATCACCCCTCTTTGTAGGGGATTGGGGGCTTCACATGGCCTGTACCCACACAATGCCAGGCCGACTCCATCCCCAGAGCCGACATATGTCACTGCACCCCTAAACCTCTCTGAATGTTTGTGGACTGAACGTCCCAGAGAAAAGATCCTACACACTCCGACACTACCGGAGCACACATGCACACATTGTCTACCTGCAGGAAACCCACTTTAAACTAGGCTCACAAGGATTTTTTTGCGACAAACACCAGGGCAAATCTAAAGGCACAGCTATACTTGTACAAAAATCCATCCCATTTGTTGCTGAGTCCACTCTGACAGGCTGGGCCAGCCGTTACATTTTCATGCGGGGAAAGATCATTGACACTCCATACACCATCGCCAATGTCTATGCCCCCAACACCAGACAGGGAAGGTTCTTACGCTCTGCTCTTAAAAGTCTTGCTGACTTCTGGTTCTGGTGGGGGGACTTCAACATAGCGTTGCCCCCCACCGTTGACACCTTCACGGATGATCCTCGACACCACCACATACCCTACTAACAATTCGCAAGCTATTGCACCAGTATAAGCTGACTTACTGCTCGAGGGCTGTGCACCCCACCGCTAAGGATTACACATATCATTCAGTGTCCAACTCATGCTATACATGCATTGACTATTTTTTCATGCCATTCTACCAAGGATTAACCCTACAAAAATCTTCAATTGGCGTAGTCACCTGGTGTGATCACGCTCCCCTCAGTTTGACATTAGCTTCCCCACTCCACAGGCCAAAGGTAGCTAGTTGAAGATGCCACGAGTCCCTTCTCTCAAACCTGAGACAGGAGGCCCACAAAAGCGTTATTAGGGGCACATTCATTTCACAAAGTACAGCCCTTAAGAAAGCTAGGGGGAGAGTCATACAGGACCTGACAGACCAGATAGGAACACAAAATGTTAGACACAATGCCACCTTCCAGATCAGATTGCAACATTGATAAAAGATTACTAGTCTTCCCTGTATGGCCTGCCTTCCCCCTCCACACATCCTGCTACCCATCAACGCACTTACCTCTCACAATATGTGCACACATGCATCACAGCTGACTCTCTCCCTTAGAGGCCCCCATCACAATGGAAGAATTAGCATCCGCAGTAAAACACACCGAGACAGGAAAGAGCCTTGGCCCGGACAGCCTGCCCATGAAATATTACAAACTCTTTGCACCCACTCTATACCCGCATTTGTAAACGCGTTTAATTCCATCACCAGTGGCCATCTCATCCCCACTCAAACGCAAGCAGCAAACATTATTATTTTACCAAAAGAGAGCAAGGATAATGAGCAGTGTGCAAACTATTGCCCCATCTCATTACTAAACTGCAATCTAAAACTGTTTACAAAAATCCTGGTGAATAGACTAAGGTCCCTTCTCCCCTCAGACCAGGTAAGGTTCATCCCGAATAGGGAGGCACGAGATAAAACCACAAGAGTCCTGTCCCTGATACACCCAGCGCCAATTGGAGAGCCTTCTTCTTCTATCTACAGACGTGGAGAAGGCCTTCGACAGGGTGGGTTGGGACTTCTTATTTGCAAACTAGAGGAGTTAGGGATTGGACAACACATGCGACAATGGATACAGGCCCTATATTCATCACCTACTGCACGGATATGCATCAGTGGGGTTTACACAGAGACATTCCCTATATGTAACGGAACAAGACAGGGATGCTCCCTGTCGCTGCTGCTCTTCGTCCTTGCCCTTGAACCATTCCTGCAGGCAGTGCGGGAGGAAGCAGAGTTTCAACAGAAGGTGAGGTGGAGGCTAAACCTATATGGGCCAAATCCTACACCGGAGATGGTGACGCAAGTCTTGGCCCAGGTGAGCACAGAACGTAGAGCACAACAGGCAAGCTTAAACCAAGGAGACACCGCTTCCTTATCTGGATCTATAAATGGAGGGCAGCGGAGAAGGATTAACTATGCTGCTTTTAAAAGTTTTTCGGATGGAGAAATGGAAATTGACACATACCTACAGGACTTTGAACGTCAGTGCGGTTTGGAGGGTCTGGAATCAGAGCAATGGGCCGCGATTTTAAGCAGCAAACTCACTGGCCGAGCAGCACAGGCGCACCGAGCAGTTCCTGATACAGCCATACACGACTACATCAGGGTAAAGGAAATTCTGCTAGCCAGGTATGCCTTGACCCCAGAGACTTACAGGAAAAAGTTTTGGACATTACGGAAAAGGGGCCGAGCTCCCACACAGAATGGGCAGCCAAAACTGGATACAAGGCTGCCAGGCCACGACACTAGAGGAGGTGCTGCAACTCCTCCTGCGAGAACAATTTTTTGATCATACCCCTGCAGACACCAGGGACTGGGTCAGAGATAGAGATAGCCGGCCACAGTCGAGGAAGTGGCCAAGCTGGCAGACGAGCATCACGAGGGAAGAAAAGGAGAGGCTAGTGGAAACCGTCCTCTGGTGAGGTCCAGCATTCCAATGCCAAGGCCTGTGACCAACCCCAGACCGAACGCGGTACCACCCATGACACAGCCTAACTTATGTCACCAGTGTAATCAGCCAGGGCATTACAAAATACACAGCCCTTCAGTGGAGCAGAGGCAATTGGGATCGGCCATCGCCACCACCAACGAGGGCAGCCGCTCATCACTATCAGCACGAGCCGCTTGAAGACAACAACCCTGATTTGGAACAATGGGCCGTACTACATGAGGTGAACCTAACCCAAGCCGAGGGGGACAACCGGGTGCACCACAGACAATGGGTCACAGTAGATGGAAAAGAGGCAGAGGCACTACAAGACTCCGGGGCCACCCTAACCCTGGTGCAGCCTCACACCGTATCTACAAAGGCACGCACCAACAGGACTGTTGCAGTAAGAGTGACAGGAGGTGCCATTTACAAGCTTCCCACAGCTCGGGTGCAGTTAAATTGGGGCACCGGAGCCAAACAGATGGAAGTAGGCATTATGTCCGGCCTACCTGCGGAAGTATTGTTGGGGAACGATTTGGGGTACCTAACTTCACAGCTGACTATCCCAGATCCCGCCGGAACCTGCCCCATGACTACAAGGGCGCAAGCCCGCCGAGCTGGACCAACACACTCCAAGGAACCACAGGTAGGAACCGAAAACCCTGTAGTATCCACTAATCCTATCCCTTTCTGGGGCACCCCCCAGGACTTTGGCCAAGCCCAGCAGACAGACCCTACGTTAGCCGGTTATAGGAAGGCAGTAGGTACTCCTAAGGAAGGTAATGACCAAAAGAACTTCCAATGGGACAAGGGACTTCTATATAGGGTCACAGGGGGAGTGGGAAGTGGGGCAGTCCAAGTTATAAAAAGGGAGCTAGTCGTACCCCGCAAATACAGAGCAGAACTTCTAAAGCTCAGCCATGATATCCCACTAGCCGGACATCTGGGTATCAAGAAAACTAAGGACTGCCTTACCCAGATGTTCTTCTGGCCAGGGATATCAAAAGATTTGCAAACGTACTGCAGGACATGTGACACATGTCAACGGATAGGGAAGAGGGGGGACCACCCTAAGGTCAAGTTACGTTCCCTACCTATAATAGAAGAACCATTCTACAGAGTAGCAGTAGACCTGATAGGGCCCCTCAAGAAGCCCAGCTCCTCCGGAAAGCACTACATCCTCACGGTGGTGGACTACGCCACCAGGTACCCTGAGGCAGTGGCGCTCTCCAACATTGAGGCGGAGACGGTAGCAGAGGCTCTAGTCAGGATCTTTTCCCGAGTAGGATTCCTCCGGGAAATACTTTCCGATCAAGGTACGCAGTTCACGGCAACTGTAACTCAACAGTTGTGGCAGAGCTGCAGGGTGAAACCGTTATTTAGCTCCCCCTTCCACCCCCAGACCAACGGTCTCTGTGAATGATTCAACGGCACGCTTAAGCAAATGCTCACAGCGTTCACCGAGTCATACGGTCAATGGGAGAAATTTCTACCCCATCTCCTGTTTGCCTACTGGGAAGCGCCCCAGGCGTCCACTGGGTTCTCCCCCTTCGAACTCCTATACGGGAGAAAAGTCCGGGGACCCCTGGACCTCATACGGGAGCACTGGGAGGGCAACACAGGAGAGGAAGGGATCCCAGTCTTGCCATATGTACTAGAGTTTCGGGACGGCCTGCAGGCGCTGACCGAATCCGTTCAGGAGAACCTGCAGGCGGCCCAGAAAAGACAGAAACAATGGTATGACTGGGGGGCACGAGATAGGAATCTGGAAGTGGGGCAAAAAGTTTGGCAGGGGCCATTTAAAGTGGTGGAACGGATTAATGACACCACCTATATTGGAGCCAAACGTTCAGATGAAAGGATCAGACGAGCTTTTCATGTGAACATCTTGAAACCGTATTTTGAGAGCCCCAAGGACGTGGCCGCTATCTGTGCCCCGTCCACTGATGATTGTGAAGGACTCCCCTTGCCCGACTTACTGGCAGCTAACCAAGGTGCCTTAGAGCAGGTCGGGTTAGGGGAGAAACTAGACCCCACACAGCAGGCAGACGCAAAACAACTGCTCCAGGAATACGGTGGGCTGTTCTCAGTCCTACCCGGATACACCACCGCCGCAGTGCACTGGGTAGAGACGCAGGGGGAAACCCCATTAGGGCAACAATCGTACCGTATCCCGGCATCAGTGCGGGCCAGCATGTGGAAAGAAATCCAAGAAATGTTGGAATTAGGAGCATCCCCGGTGGTTTTAGTACCGAAGCGAGACGAGACGGTACGACTCGCTTCTGTATTGATTACCGGAAACTGAACGACCGGACTATCACGGACGCATACCCCATGCCACGGATTGACAAATTGCTCGATTGCATGGCCACCGGGCACTTCCTAACTACCCTGGACCTGTGCAAAGGATATTGGCAAATCCCGCTAGACTCGGCTGCCATACCTAAGTCGGCATTCGTCACCCCATTCGGGCTATACTAATTTCGGGTTATGCCTTTTGGGATGAAGAATGCCCCGGCTACGTTTCAACGGATGGCGGACCGACTTCTGGAGGGAATGCAGGACTTCGCATGTGCCTACCTAGATGATATTGCTATCTATAGTGGCACATGGCGCACTTGGCTACGGTATTTGGGAGGTTACAAAAAGCCGGCCTCACCCTGAAACCCGAGAAATGCCATGTGGGTATGGCAGAGGTTCAATACCTAGGGCATAGAGTAGGGTCTGGGAAACAGTGCCCCGAACCAGCCAAAGTAGAGGCTATAGCCAATTGGCCCCAGCCCCGCACCAAGACACAGGTATTGGCCTTCCTAGGCACAGCAGGGTATTATCGAAAGTTCGACCCTGAGTATAGCACTCTAGCAAAACCCCTCACCGACCTGACCAAAAAGTCACTACCCAAGCAGGTAGCATGGTCCCCGGAGTGTGCAACGGCATTCCAGAGACTTAAAACTGCCTTAAGCGAAGCTCCAGTATTGGCGGCCCCAGATCCTAATAAAACATTTCTCATTCATACAGATGCCTCCATGTTTGGGATGGGAGCCGTGCTGAGCCAAGTGGGGGAAGATGGCATGGAAAAAGAGTGCCTAGCTTTAGTATGGGCCCTAAAGAAACTCCAACCGTACCTTTATGGCCGTGCCTTTACCCTAGTCACTGACCACAACCCCCTCATTTGGCTCAACCGAGTCTCTGGAGACAATCCCCGGTTGCTTCGCTGGAGCCTAGCGTTACAGCCCTACAATTTTACACTGCAATACCGTCCGGGCAAGCAGAACGGCAATGCGGATGGTCTTTCCCGCCAGACCGATTTGGATGTATAATCGTATAGCCGAATGTCACGTGGAACAGAAAACGGCGGCCATCTTGTTTGCACGAAAGGAGGCAGCGGGACTTAGTCGTCGAGTGTCTGGAACTAAAATCGGACACTCGACCTCCCGAACCACCGCTGAAACTACCGAAGCTTGCTTCCTTTAGTTGCCGAACAGCCAGGAGAGCGCCATTCGGTAGTTCGGCAATCGCTCCTATGAGCCAGGAGGATCCATTCGGGACTTTTATTCGTTTTATGCCTTTTTCTGAATTGACCGACCGCACACGCTGAATTTATGGAACTGTTTTGGGCAGGAGCCTCGTGTGTGGTCAGTAACTTGTGACTTCCATACTTTTTAAGAACCCCTGAACTGATCTGGGTGAAATTTGGATATGTTGGTCCCCCAGATCGGGGCTATCAGGGGATACCTTGTGTGGAAAGGGGTTTTCAAATTTTTGGGAAAATTGTGTGCCCTCTGCCTGGAGATAATTGGGTTATTCCTTAACTTATCTCAATATCTCCCAAGCAGAGAGAGGGCGGGGGTGTGACGAGACCAATCTCGCCACATTGCATTGGAGAAGCCTGGTTGCTCGCCTGCTGCCTCTGGACTATGGCCCCCTTTTAAAAGACTTTATTTCGCCTGGAGAAAAGCTGTATTCGTGCTTTTCTGCCAGTTGTTCGGTAGATTCAATCTACCGAACAACCGCACGAATGAATAGACCACCTGGGAGCTGGAGTGTGCCGGCAATTAACCTCCCTGAAGCTGCGGTTAACCGCAGCTTAATTGACGAATGCTGGGTGGCCGCCATTCGTATCCCGAACACGAGGTCGCGGCCATTTTAAACATACGAATGCACAGCGGTGTTCGCCCCTATTTTCATGGAACTAAAATCGGACACAGTTTTGCGCGAACACCGCTGAAGCCGCCGACCTCCCTTCTTGTTCGGTGGAAGTGCACGAACGGCCCGGTGTTCGGTAGTTTTGGTTGAATGTGTTATACCCCAGATAGGAATCCCATGGAGCCCATTCGTATGAAACTGACTGTAAAGACTTTGGCTCCATGGCGATTAAACTGTATTCGTGTGGTCTGAGCGCCATTCGCTTAATAATGTGCGCTCAGACCTGAGCTATCTGGGGATATGTTACATGTCTGTGTTTTATGTAATAAATGTTACTTTATGTATTTTAAAGTATAATACTGGTTTTGTATCCCCACATGTGTAATGGAGTTTTGCCTTTGTCTTGGGAGATAATTTAATTACTTCCCAATTATCTCCCAGGGCAGAGGGGAGGAAGCCAGGATGCATTGTGGGAATATATTGTGACTGTGTGTCCTATTTGTCTACTTGTCTGTCTTTTGTCACAGTCTCCCATTTGGTCCCCTAGGGGAGTGTCCACCAGGTGGGAGACCTGCATAAATACTGGGCAGGTAGCCCTCATTAAACAGACCACTGCTTGACCCTCAACACGGAGCCTTGTCTCGTCTTTGGGGGGATTTACTGTATGCTGCTAAGGACTGATTGCCAGGAGTGTAAGCCGCTTGGGAGCTTTTCCTGTTCGTCTGGTAGCAGCAATTCGTATGGTTCCTGTTCGTGTATTTGGAGTGCTGTATTGGATGCCGTTTGGGAGTTTGAAGCATTCACTTATTGTATGCAGTTCGAGTGTTTGGAGCATTCCCTTGTATGCAGTTCGGGAGTTTGGTGCATTCACTTGTATTCAATTCGTGAGTTTTGGGTGATTCTACAGTATATGTGCCTGTCTCTAAAAAGGGATTATCGTCGAAGCGTTTTTTTCCCCTTTTTTGCAAAACGGTCCATTACAGGGGGTTACTGTAAATCTGTATGTTGATTGGTTATTGTCTTTGTTTACTGTGGGAGGTCCTCTTGCAGGAGGATTTCTCATAAAACCCAGTGTGGCATCAATAAACTTAATTCCTGTTAGACCCTTCATGAAGTGTAGGCTCATGTTTGGGGAATATTCTACTTGTTGGGGACAATCGTCTTGGAAGCTGCATTCATCTACACTATTCCTCTACCTCCTAATTGCAGTTATAATCACTTATGCTCAGCTATTGGGAAAGGAATAGAAGACAGCAGTACCATAACCACTGCAGGTCTTAACACTGTTGAATATTTTAAAATGTCTACATATGCAGAGAAAGAGTCAAATTTTCTTGGGGGACTGCCATTTCTGTAGTTTCTTTGGTTATATAGTTTTATATATATATATATATATATATATATTTACAGATCTACAGATCTCTCTCTTTCTCTCTTAAAGTAGGTTTGGGTATATATATATATATATATATATATAAAATGTAATATAATGTAATTTTTTTAATGTAATTTTTGGATATATGTATATATGTATGTTTGTTTCTGTTTTATATATATATATATATATATATATATATATATATTTCTGTTTTATATATATTTTATATAACATACTTGTTTTAGCGTTATTAATAAAATTATAAATAAATATTTTCTAGATTATATTTGGCTATAGAATATATGTATATTACGTGTTTAATAGTTTCTAGATGCGTATTTATTGATATGTTTCAAATTAATTGCATATGAATTTTATAACATGACATGAGGCTTCATATTTACTTAAGTCTCTCTTTACTAGAACTCCACAGCAGCATTTTAACACAGAGAGTAAACAACCAATCAGAGAAAAGAAAGGAAAAGGAAACCATGAAACTCCCTTCCCCACAAACTACTTCCTCTTTCTTTGCTGCTCCAAATCAGTACAGGTCAGAGTACCACTGCCTCCTGCTTTTAGTGGGTGGCTATCTTCCCTCTGATCGTTATACCTTATCACCCCTTTTTTCCTTATATCGGGCTGTGTGTGTCTCGCTCAGGGGTTTCAGGAGGTTTACCGTTGGGCCTCCGATCTCCGGGACCACGGAGTATGTCTCCAGCGGTCCCGCGTTATTTCTCCTGGTCTCTGGGGTACTCGTGATCCTGCACGAGTACCCGGCGGCCAGATCCTCTTTTCCACGTGGCCGCTGTGCTGCGGCTGACTCCTTCTGCGGACCACGTGCGTCTGACACGGCGAAGGAGGGCGCAATTACTCGCGGCCTCTTCCCTGGTTGTGATTTCCCTCTGTGGGAGGTCTGATTGACGGGTTTTTTTCCCTTCCTGGCCCTGGGACGCTCTGGGAGGCAGAGACCCCCTTCCAGACCACGGTCTGGGCCTAGAGTAAGCCTGAGTGGGCCCTCTCACCCTACATCAGGGTTTGTGTCTGATGGATACCATAAGTTCCTCCCCTCAGTGTTTATCTGTGACCATCCTTAGCTAAATTGCCATATGTATACACTATAGGACTATGCTGCACTGGGATCTCTGCAGATTGGACATATACAGTGCCTTACAAAAGTATTTACCCCCTTGGCATTTTTCGTGTTTTGTTGCCTCACAACCTGGAATTAACATGGATTGTTTGAGGATTTGCATCATTTAATTTACAGAACATGCCCACAACTTTTTTTTTTATTGTGAAGCAAACAACAAATAGGACAAAATAATAGAAAAAATCAAGGTGCATAATTATTCACCCCCCTAAAGTCAATACTTTGTAGAGCCACCTTTTGCAGCAATCACAACTCCAAGTCGCTTTGGATAAGTCTCTATGAGTTTGCCACATCTTACCATTCCTCTTTGCAAAACTGCTCCAGCTCCTTCAAGTTGGATGGTTTGCACTTGTGAACAGTAATCTTTAAGTCTAACTACAGATTTTCTATTGGATTTAGGTCTGGGCTTTGACTAGCCCATTCCAACACATTTACACGTTTCCCCTTAAACCACTCAAGTGTTGCTTTAGCAGTGTGTTTGGGGTCATTGTCCTGCTGGAAGGTGAACCTCTGTCCTAGCCTCAAATCACGCGCAGAGTGGTAAACGTTTTGCTCAAGAATATGCCTGTATTTAGCACTATCCATCTTTCCCTCAACTCCGACCAGTTTCCCAGTCCCGGCTGCTGAAAAACATCCCCACAGCATGATGCTGCCACCACCATGTTTCACTGTGGGGAAGGTGTTCGTAGGGGGATGTGATATGTTGGGTTTGCGCCAGACATAGCGTTTTCTTTGTTCGCTGAAAAGTAAAATTTTAGCCTCATCAGACCAGAGCACCTTCCTCCATACATTTTGGGAGTCTCCCACATGCCTTTTCACAAACGTGCCATTTTGTTTTTTGCTGAACGTAATGGCTTTCTTCTGGCCACTCTGCCATAAAGACCAACTCTCTGGAGCGTATGGCTTATTGTAGTCCTATGTACAGATACTCCAGTCTCTGCTGTGGAACTCTGCAACTCCTCCAACTCCACCTTAGGTCTCTGTGCAGCCTCTCTGATTAATGCCCTCCTTGCCCGGTCCGTGAATTTTGGTCACCTCCTTCGGCCGCAGGCCTGGGGGAATATTACTGGGGACATCCCCAATCACCCTATAGACACTAAGATATGTATGTGTCCATATAAATACTGCTGCTATTCTATCTGTGTTTACCCTAATTACGTAGTGGTGACACCTGTAATTTCTTTCTCTAGGTGTCACGCTACTATTAAGACGGCAACCGCTATGGACGCCCCGACCCAGGAAAGCCTAGAAGTGAAGATTAATGCGGCAGTGGCCGCCTCTGTTGAAAAAGTGCTGACAAGAGCCTTCCCGCTGGTGCCTCAGTATAGGGGAACAACGGGGACACCGCGCGCTAAAGTAGAGTCAGACAGATTCACCAGAGAGGGACCAGACGAGAACGACTAAACGTTATTGGAAGGTTGAGGGCAGAATGCCCCAGGCCCACTTTGCCGGACAAGGTCGCTGTGACTTCCGAGTTCGACTCTATGGTTTCTACCTACCTGACCTGTTCTGGTTGCGATCTCAAAAAAGGGATTGAACGCAGCCTCCGTCTGGCACAAGATAAAGTGCTTGATATGATGGGATGCCTGGCCCGGATCCTCATGCTCGCTGACGAGGCTGTCCCGCAGGTCTCAACCCTGGACCTGTCAGGCGTAAGACATTGGGCGTTGCGCTCCATTTGCCTGCTGGGCAACTCAAACGTGGCGCTCTGCACGGAGCGGAGGAAAGTGGTCCTTATGCGTATGGATGCTAAGTTATCAGAGTTGGGGTCTTAGGAGCTGGGATCCTTGGCCAAGGGGCTATTGTTTGGAGAACCCTTTATCAAGGAGCTCCATAAACATGTGAATCTTTATACTACTTTGAATAAGGCCCAATCCTCAATGAGGATAGTTTTCCGCACACATCTCATGTGTTTTTGGCAGGGCTGGACTCCAATGGGTTCTGGCCATCGAACCACCGAGGATCCCGGACACCATCGTTCTTCCTTCACTTCCCATAGGTTGGACCCCGGTAGAGGAAGCCAGGCTTGTGGAAGAGCCCATAGGTGAGCCCCGTTTCTCCAACTTTAATTCCAGTCTATTGCATACCGGCTGATTGTGTCATTGTCTCGACAGGTGGCAGGACATTTCCTTGGATGCATGGATACTACAGATGGTCCAAGGTTACGTTATAGATTTTCATTCACGGCCGATAAAAGCTCGACCACCCCAGGCTCCTATATCGCCAAGAGAACATCAGACACTGGTGGACGCAGAGATACAAGCCCTTTTCGTTTCAGCTCCATATTTCTGGTCAGGAAAAAGACGAGAGACTTCCGTCCAGTAATAAACCGGAGAAATCTGAACTCCTTCGTCGTCTACCGACACTTCAAGATGAAGGTCATCCATCTTCTGAGGGACCTACTTCACCCTGGGGATTGGTTCACAAGCCTAGATCTGAAGGATGTCTACCTGTCTTTCCCAGTGGAACACATGTGATGACGTTTTCTCTGTTTTGTTTGGAAGGGAAGACCTTGCCAATTCTCCTGTCTACCCTTCGGCCTCAGCTCGGCCCCGTGGTGTTTCACCAAGCTACTGAAACCGGTGACGGCGCGACTACTCTCCAGAGGCATTCGATGCCTTATATACCTGGACGATCTGCTACTATTCTGTGAAGACTCGTCCAGGCTGACATCTCAAACGCTCTATGCGATCTCCTTGTTCAAATCCCTGGGTTTTGTGAAGTCGGCTCTCACATCAACGCAGGTGGTACAATTCTTTGTATTCAAAATAGACGCAACTCAGTGCATCCTACGTCTCCCTCAGTCCAAGATCACGACCATTTGGAAAGAAATCCGAAGGATCCTATGTCAGGAGCAGATACCACTCAGGGTCCTGGTGTGAGTGGTGGTCCTATTGTCTCCATAGATCCAAGCCACGTACCCAGGACCCCTTCACTACAGAGCCATGGAGTGCCTGAAGGCACGTGTCCTGCACGATCAATTGATTCCCCTCACATAGGAAGTCAGGGCCAAACTTCGCTGGTGGCTACTACACATGTAGGCCTGGAACGGCAAGGCAATCTTTGGCCCAACTCCAGACTTCGTTCTGGAATCAGACGCGAGCCTCTGGGGCTGTTGAGCCACCTGTGCAACCACCTCCGCGGGAGGTCCCTGTTCGCACATGGAAGCGGAGTATCACATCAACTGCCTGGAACTGATTGCGGGATCGTTTGCAATACGGAGCCTTGCGGAACACCTGTCGAATTGCTGCATTGTCCTGAGGATGGACAATGTGTCGGCAGTACAATATATCAACCGCCGGGGGGTGTCCGCTCATGTGCACTAGCGGAGGTGACGAAGGAGATTTACAGCTTCTGCTTCCAGCACAATATCACTATCCAGGTGGAGTATCTACCAGGTGTGACAAACCTGATGGCAGATTGGTTCTCCAGGCATTGGAGGGATGCCAGTGACTGGAGACTTCATCGATCGATCTTCCTCAAAGTGGCACGCCAGAGGGGCCTGTTCACAGTGGATCTTTTAGCCTCCAGGACGAACTTCCAGGTTTCTACATATTTCAGTTGGCTCCCAGACCCGACATGCACGGCAGTGGGTGCTTTTCTTCAGGACTGGCCGTTGCAGGGAGCCTACGCATTTCCTCCATTCACTATGATCTCCAGGGTCCTGCTCCAGATGCAACGTCAACAGGTATCCTTAGTATTACTGACGCCTCTTTGGCAAGGCCAGGCTTGATTTCCAGAATTACTGGAGCGGTCATGTCGGGACCCGCTTCTCCTTCCGTCTCAGCAGATGATTCTCTCGGACATACGAGGCAACCATCACACCCTTGTACTAGAAGGCCACCTCCACTTGGTGGTCTGGACTCTTTACGGGGTACCTGGAATGTCAACGAACTATCGGGGTCAGTTAGAAACCTCCTCTGAGACTCTTGGGCCCCGGGAGATGTTACCTATCTGCATGGAACATTTGGTGTTATTGGTGCCTGGAACGGAGTATCAATCCCTTTACAGCACCTGTATCCAGCGTTCTGAATTTCCTCTCTCACCTCTTCGACCAAGGACCTCTTCGACCAGGTCTGCCATTTCGGTGCTCACTTGGTCAGGCGCCCTGGTGGCTGGCGCTTCTCTTCTCTCCTGTCATTCTCTTCCCGACATTCTACGTTCAACGGACTGGTCTGGAGAAGACACCTTTTGACAATTTTATTTCAGACCTGCGGAACATGCTTCATTTGCTTTATTGGCAGAGCGTTGAAACAGCAAATATGATGCCTCCTGTCATGTTATAAAATTGTAGATTATGCTAGCTTTAGTGTACCTATAATCTTAATTTTATTAATTACAGGAGGCAAATATTTCCCACCCTTTTTTTCTCCCGACCCTTGTTTGCATATGTTATTTAGTGTTTTTTGGGTATACTAGGTAGGTATACTGTTCTTAGTATGCTTCTTATTGTTTACCGTATCACCACACTGTTTTTTTCTTACAGTCTAGGGTGGGAATCTTTATATTTGGTGGTGTTAACTGATTTTGCACTGGGTGGCTGCATGTTTCTTATGCGTACATTTCATTGCTGATCATAGCATGGTTTTGGAGATGTGTTGCCTCAATTGTTAGTCAATTCACTGACAAACCACTGCCTTTCCACCCAGCCGTTTATCTTCTCCACAACACAACAACACTCACATCTCAATACAAACAATCTTTGACTATTCGCATCCTTTCTATAGACAAACATCTCATACCCCTGCATTGGAAAAGGGACATAATTCCACCATTGTCACTTTGGTTCACAAGGATGGAGGAACTAAGGGCTTTAGAGGACTTATGGTTCACCGCATAGGACAGGACACAGGCTTATATGGATATCTGGACCCCATGGCTAATCACAACCCTGAACCCCAAATTTCATGACCAACACATCAAGGAACCAGCTGAAATATAGAGATAAGCACCAAATTACAGGTTTGCTCACCTGCATAGACCCCTGACCCTGGGGAAGGGGAGCCTTGGCGCACACTGGGCACAGCATCTCCCCATCTTTATCTTTCCCTTCCCCTCCATCACATTCCCACACTCCCTTCCCTCTCCTCCCTGACCTCAACCCATCTCAGATCAATGCAATTTCGGAACTGGCTGGCATGCACTATAGTTTCTGCGTGACTGATGCCATTAGCTCCCACGTTCCATAACCCCATAAGCGCCCCCTACTGAAAAATCATGAAAGTGGAGGTAGAGGGCACAACCCAGACCACACATATCACGAGTAGGAACCATGCTTCCAGGGGAAAGGTGGACATGGTACATACACTGGCTCCTGCCTTGATAGAAATGCTGTCAGTGCTGATTCTGGTTATTGTATTGTTACGCTACTACCACAGAGACCTGCAAGTCTCATTGCTCCATGCCTGTTATCTTCCATGACAAAAAAAAAAAAGAAAAAACCCACAATAAAAAAGATATTTACAAAAAATAAAATAAAAAATAATAACAAATCATATACTTAGTGCGGTAGGCTGGAGAAGAAAGAACTTATGTGGGTGTTTTTTTCTGGTCTATTTTGAATGCGGTCCTATTAGTGATGTTGCCAAAAATGCTCAACCTGTAATCTCACTTTCACTCATTTTACCCAGAGAAAACAATACCTCTGTACAGAAGCAATATTACTTTACAAAGAATAAAGTACTTCCTGACAGCAATTCAATGTCTCCCTTGATCAACAATATTCCAATGATTATATTATATTTCAATGTGATTTTTTTTTTTTACGTTTCATTAACATTTCCATTTTTATTAAACTTCAGTCTCCGTTGGTCTGAGAGATAATTTGTGGTATATAGTTTCCAAGCCTACCACAGAACTATTAATCCACTTGTTCCTAAAAGTCAAGTTGTCTCTAGTCAAATAGCTCTTCCTCCCTATGTCCCTTTCACTGACACCAAAGAATAGACAAAGTTTGTCTTTCAAATCAAGGAAAACTCTATGAGTTTCAAAATTTTTGCATTCTGTATTACTGCAAAGTGCATGCAGTACCCTGAGCTCACTCTCATTTCTGAGAATGGTTTATAGCTGCAGGGATTTGTAAAAATTGCGTCCACTATAAGACATTCCACCAGGGCTGTCAATGAGACTACCTGGAACACTTAGTTCCAGGTTCTGTTGTGTCACTTTTGTCCCTCCTGCGCCTGCAATAACGCTCTCCCTAGAGACAGCCAAGCCATGAATTGTCTGTGCATGTCTCTGTTTAATGATGTGTCCAATCTCATAATAAACCCCATAGCTGTAAGTAAAGCTAGACATTTACTTTTCAATTTTGTGAGTGATGACACTAGAATGCAAATGTAACAGTGATACTGTCTACACTCACAGAGCTGAAGAATGCATATACTGCATTGCACTGCAATACAATTAGTATTTGCTTACTTTACACTTAAGCAAATAAATGGAGCCCAATCTAGTTTAACCTATTTTAATTAAAATAAACACATAAAAACTGTGTTGAGTCAGCTTTGGTAAAGAAGAATTGTGCAATCTAGTAAGAAGCAATTTTTCCAGCATACAGGTATATTTTGTGGTTAAGGGTTTGTTTTATTTTAAATAGAATATTAGGAGGTTCCATGCGATTTTAGTGCCAAGCAGGAAACTTTTCAAGCCCAGAGAGCATCCTGGAGAAGCAGCAGGATACTTTTTTTTTCAATTGATATTATTTTACATCATGAAACTACTTGTAGAACAATTTGCATCTTTCATTATACACAGCTGTAAGTGGATGGCAGATTTGCTGCCTCCTAGTGCTGCTTTCTACATTGGGTATTGCATGCAAATAGATGTGTTGTAATACCTATATGCATAATGACAACAGGGGGAGAGTAGAAATCTAAGTAGGAAGTAAGATGACCTACTGGCTCCATGGGCATTTTATTGTTAGGCTGAGAAAATGCAGCGGCCAATAATATTAATTAATAATAATATCCCGCTTGGTATTTTTAAAGATTACTGTTGGAGTATCTACGTTTCTGGCACATACTAAAACTGTCAGCTCTAGTGAAAGCACTCTATAATCCTCCCATGATGCTATGGGGCGAATTATCAAAGTTTACTGTTCTAAAAGGTAGACTAAATTTGGGCAATTAGCATGGAAATAATTTTGGCCAAAAGGATCATTGCATTGAAAAAAAAAAAATACAGTTTCTTCAAACTAGGATGCACTAATTTATGCTCCAAATGCTTCTGTAGAAATACCATCTTCACGCAAGACAGGTGAAGATGGGCTTCCAAAGAAATCAAGTCTGTTTAATGGTATATGGAGCAGCAATTTGGCTCTGTTAGAACCAGCTATGCTATTCAGAGCATGTCCAGCAGGTCCAACAGTAACAGGAGGTCTTACGATTCACTCTAACAGGGAGATATGTAATGGGTAATTGCATTGGTAGTGGCTATTTTTGGAGTCTGCTCATGCATTATGACAATTTACCATACATTACCAACATTCCTTGTCTCACCTTCAATCTGATTACCCTGCAAATACAGGTGCTGTAGGTTGGTGTTAACTGGTGGTATACGGTGCAGTTGATTGTATGACAGGTCCAGTTCCACTAGACTGGTAGTATTGAATGTTGTCTCTGGGAACCCTTCATTAGTGAGTCGGTTGTGTGAAATTCTAACATACTGCAACTTGGGATATGCCTTGAAGTACTCTGATGGCACTGAGCTCACGTAATTGTACTCCAGGTACATTTGTTCTAAAGACCCAGGAAGTGTGTCTGGCAACTTGCGGAGCTGATTGTTGCTAATGTCCAAATGCACTAGGGATTTTAGTCCTCTCAGTGCACTTCCCACTTCATTTATCTGATTCCTATGTAAGTCCAGGGCAGTAAGATTTTCTAGACCTTCTAAGGCATTAGCGGGCATTTTGGAGATCTGATTGGATGAGAGATATAACTCACGTAGTGAACGAGGCAGTCCACTGGGTATGCGGGTCAGATTGTTATTTTGCATATAAAGCCTCTCCAATCCTCGAAGCTTGGAAAATACCTTTCTGCCTACCTTATCACTCAAGAGCTGGTTCCCATGTAATGCCAACCACACCAACCCAGTGGCATTGTCAAAGGCACCATCAGGTACAGCAGTGATCTGATTGTTTTGGAAGTAGGCATATTTGACTCGAGATGGTACATAGGGAAGATACTTTAAGTTTCGACCATCGCAGTATAGTGCGGTTGGGAAGGTTGGTGGACATTCACATTCCTGTGGGCAGTCACTTACAGATGGAGCAGGGGGACCTGGATCATAATCATATGAAGGAGCACCACCGTAGCTATAGGGAGCACCAACATCGCTGTATTGCATGCTCCTTATGTAGGAAAGCCACCAATGAGAGTCATCATATGAATCTTCATACTGAGTCCAGGACACATCACAGAGTAACACTACAAGGAGAATAGCAAGGGGCTTCATTCTTCAGTTTCTGAAATATGAATATGAGATCATTGCTTAATTACATTCATTAACTGTTCTAGAAAGCTCTTTCTTTTAACAAAACTGCAATGTTGACTTTAAGAAATCTCAACAGATTAAAATAATCCGTTTAAATACACAGTTTCCATATAATAAGAGCATAGCATGACAGTGATTCCACATGAGGAAGAGTAGGAAAAGAAGGGATATATAAACTCCTGTGAATTCCTACATTTCTTTGGCTTTATAGTAAATAAATAACTCATAACTGTTAATTATAATCTGCTCAAATAATTAATACAAATTGTCTTTGTGTGAAAAAGTATTTGAACCTTTAGATTAAGTAAATGTTGACTTTACCCAGAACTATGCTTTTAATTAATCCTGCAGATAACTGTGAGGTATTTTGGCTCAGTCTTCTTTAGAGAATTGCTTCAGACCATGCCATAGCAATCCAATTGGATTATGTGCAGGCATTTGACCAAGTCATATGAGTTTTACATGTGTGTTTGCTATTATTTGGCTGTATACCTCACATTCTAAACTTACACTCACAGATGGACAAACAGTCAAACTTTGGTTTGTGGTACAATTTAGATTTCATTGATATCTCAGTAATTGTATGGTTGTATTGTTTTCAAGAGTACTAAACAGCCATACCACCAGCAACCACAATGCGCCCACCACTAGATTTCCAGGCTGTGTTTGGTGGTTCTCATACTTTGCAGCATTCACCAAAGATAACTTTTATTGACAATGTTGATATATGTTTACTTTTGTATCACTCTCTGTGGTATTTTTCGTAAATTTTACTTCATGTATACTTAATTTGCCCTCTTGTTTATTGATAGTGACCCAAGTCTATAACAATTGTTTCGTAAACTTCATAAACCACAACAAATATTGTTTTCAGGTCCTCAGAAGATCCTGGTATCAGTTTATGTATCTTTCAGGGCTGGGGGACATGTGCCAGTTTTACAGTAAGTGTGATGTGATCTTGTACTGGCAGATTAATCTGATTTTATTTTATACAGCTCAATCTTTTCTAAAGATACATTTGTGCTGCTCTTGGGGAATTTTCTCTAATATCGCTAAAGAACAAACCCAAGACAGGTGAAGATGGTCAATTGAAGATTAGATAATCAGGGTGTGAATTGTTGAGAATTCAGTGTGAATCCTCCCAGCAAACACTTTTAATTTGTCTTTTTTAACCTAAATCGAAATTGATATTTATGTTGCATGCACTTTCTATTCCCAACAATTCATACTTTACTGAATAACATTTTGAATGAAAATAAAGAACACTTTACAAACATTCTTTTGACTCTCTAATTCTCTCATTGAGCTCTGTGATATATATATATAGACTTTAATCATAAACTTCATACTCTAAATATACATTTGATTTGTTAAACCTATTTTGCTATAGAAAATTGAGGCCTTTAAGGATTGGAAAGCTTGACATGTATAAATGAAGCATGGGTGGTTGGAATTCTCTTGAATTCTCTACACATTAAGAAGTTGGGAATCCTATTTTTTTTTTCCATTTAAAGACAAGACGTATCTGGTTTATAAATGCTTTTTGCAGATTAGGGAAAAATCTATATGGTTTGGGAATATGTATAAATAAATAAGTGACTTTGTGGGAGCCTACATTCTTTTTAACACCTATAATGTTTTAAAAATCACTGTATATCACATATTAGATATGAAAATTTAATTTTTGATATTTAGTCTGTACACAACTATATATGCAGAATAATGGGGGGGGGGGTTAAGAATGCATTAAGTGAATGGTGGTGAACTTGGGGTACAGACAATTTTTGTACTTTGAAAAAAGACTTTCATGATTTTGAAAGTTCTACTTATGAAAAAAGAGACAAATTATATCTGGTTAACATTGCATAAACAAAATGAGTAATACTTTGGACCTCAGAGACCCATACGGTTGTGAGTTATGATGTTTGGAAAAGGTGATAACATAGTTAAGGTGTCTGGAAAACAACAAATTCATTGACATTTGAAAAACCTGAGACATTAAAAAAGTACCCCGTACAATTTGAAAACCTTTAAAATATGTGAATTGGATCAGAGTAAGGCTTAATATGCTTTATGTAAGAATTGAGGTTTGAAGAGCACTATTTGGGGTTTAATCACTAAACAGAGAATCCAAAATTAAGTGAATTAAGAGAATTGTATAAATTATGCCAAATTTGCCAGTCTGGATAATAATAATTATCCAAACTTTTTAGAAAGGCTGGTGTACACAAAGAAATGTTGTTTGTGGTTTGAAAACTTCTAAATGTTAATAATGTTTCGGGAATCATCATAATGTGCACCATTGTAAAGAATACAATAAGAATATATATGTGGTGTGGAAATAATTGCACATTTATACATTTACAAATAGTTCTATTAAAGTGAATAAAATGAATAAGGATTTTATATTCTCTATAAATAGCAGCAACACAGACATTTCGGAGTGTATTTAAGAGATTGAGGTTGAGAAATCTGTAAACTTTGAACCTCGTGTGGATTTGATAAATCTATTCACATGGTTGCAGGTTCCAGGTTTTGAAAGTACTTTATACATGAGGAGCCACTATCATGTAGTTTAGTAGAGTTTGTTCACATCACAAAAACACCTGTATGGTTCACATCACAAAGCCACCTTATTTATTTAAATAAATATAAATAAATATATATATTTATTTATAAGAGATTTCATAGCCAGTGAATGATTTGCAAATTTAAAGAAAATAAATATTAATTTAAATATTTTCCATTTACATGCAAAAAAACATTTGATGTTTGAAAACCATTATACTATGTTGGTAAAACTAAAATGTTTTAACAAAATTGCACTAATATAAAATCCAAATTATATTAATACACTTATTTGTACAATATATTTCACGCACAGCAGGAACATACAGATTCATGTTCTTTTTTTCTAGCTAATACTGTTTTCCAGAAATGTAAATGGAAACAAATATGATGTGATCTGGTACCTGACAATGACACCTGCATGAAAAACCCATTACACTAGGAAATTTCTCACACTGCATATTTTTCAGTGATACATTTCCACAGCATTTTCAATTTGTAATAACTGAATATAATCATGTCCTTACCAGACGTGTCCGGTGTTTTCTTTCAGGTCAGTATTCTTGAAGACTGTCTTAGTGTGAGTTTGTGTTCAGGCTGGATGCCCAGGTACACAGCTCAGTGCCTTTCTAGCTTTGTAAGTTATTAATTCACAACAACCAGAATCCTAACAAGATGTGACAGTGCATCTCATTTCACCAACTAGTGTGCTTTTATTCGGTCCTCTTTCTTGTACTGTTTCCCTGACACACATACACTCTGTCTGTTAAGCTGTCTTTCTCTCCAATTTGTTACACTCCCTCCTCCATGCCCTTATGAGGTGTTTATGGAAATTGAAACCTGGGATGAGGATGGAAGTTTTCCTGAGTCTCCTGCCAAGTACGACCTTCTACAGTAACTTCTCTGGTACCACTCGGTTTCCTGCTCCCTGTAGAATATTTGTCAAGGATTTCTCCTGCAATAAAGCACATTGCATATTGATAAAGGGACACTTTAGTCACTATAACCATTTTATCTCAATGGATTGGTCATGGTGTCTGGAGTCCTCTGGTGCTGACTAGTGATGCACCGAACGGTTCGCTGGCGAATAGTTCCTGGCGAACATAGCATGTTCGCGTTCGCCACGGCAGGCGAACATATGCGTGGTTCGATCCGCCCCTATTCGTCATCATTGAGTAAACTTTGACCCTGTACCTCACAGTCAGCAGACACATTCCAGCCAATTAGCAGCACACCCTCCTTAGCAGACCCTCCCACCTACTGGACAGCATCCATTTTAGATTCATTCTCAAGCTGCGTGCTTAGTGAGAGGAGGGTAGCTGCTATTGATTTGATAGGGAAATGGATAGCTAGGTTAGTGTATACAGTGTCCACTACAGTCCTGAAGGACTCATCTGATCTCTACTGTAAGGACAGCACCCCAAAAAGCCCTTTTTAGGGCTATAACATCAGTCTGTTTTTTTTTTTCTGTGTAATGTAATTGCAGTTGCCTGCCAGCTTCTGTGTCAGGCTCACAGTGGATACTGTGCCCACTTGCCCAGTGCCACCACTCACTCACTGGTGTCACAACAGCTTGCATTTAAAAAACCAAAAATTTTTTCCCCCACTATAATAGATTGAATAGCAGTTAGTTGTCTGCAAGCGTCTGTGTGTCAGGCTCGCAGCGTATACTGTGCCCACTTGCCCAGTGCCCCAATAGCTTGCATTTAAAAAAACCCAATTTTTTTTCTCACTATAATAGATTGAATAGCAGTTAGTTGTCTGCAAGCATCTGTGTGTCAGGCTCGCAGCGTATACTGTGCCCACTTGCCCAGTGCCACCACTCACTCACTGGTGTCACAATAGCGTGCATTTAAAAACCAAAAAACTTTTTTCACTGTTATAGATTGAATAGCAGTTAGTTGTCCAAGCGTCTGTGTGTCAGGCTTGCAGTATACTGTGCCCACTTGCCCAGTGCCACCACTCACTCACTGGTGTCACAATAGCGTGCATTTAAAACCCAAAAAACTTTTTTCACTGTTATAGATTGAATAGCAGTTAGTTGTCTCAAAGCGTCTGTGTGTCAGGCTCACAGCGTATACTGTACCCACTTGCCCAGTGCCACCACTCACTCACTGGTGTCACAATAGCGTGCATTTAAAAACCAAAAAACTTTTTTCACTGTTATAGATTGAATAGCAGTTAGTTGTCTCAAAGCGTCTGTGTCAGCTCACAGTGGATACTGTGCCCAGTGCCACCACTCACTCACTGGTGTCACAATAGCGTGCATTTAAAAACCAAAATACTTTTTTCACTGTTATAGATTGAATAGCAGTTAGTTGTCTTCAAGCGGGTGTGTCAGGCCTACAACGTGTACTCTGCCAACCTTTGCCAGTTCAAAGTGCCACTCTTATCTGGTGTCACAATAGCTTGCATTTAAAAAAAAAAAAACTTTTTTCACTGTTATAGATTGAAAAGCAGTTAGTTGTCTCAAAGCGAGTGTGTCAGCCCTACAGCGTGTACTCTGCCAACCTCTGCCAGTTCACAGTGCCACTCATATCTGGTGTCACAATAGCTTGCATTTAAAAACAAAAAACTTTTTTCACTGTTATAGATTGAATAGCAGTTAGTTGTCTACAAGCTGGTGTGTCAGGCCTACATGGAATGCGTGGCTCTGCAGAGGAGTTGGTGACACCGCCACGACTTGCAGGCAGGCCTGCTGCCACATCCTCTACTCCTCCTACTCCATCCTCTTCCATAACCTCCTCGGCTGAGTCCTCTTCTGCTGCTGCGTCTTGCTCCACATCAACGGATAGGGGACGTAACAGGGATTAAACTGATAAGAATAGTACTACTTAACAAACCACTCCTATCTGGTGGCACATTAGATTGCACGCGCAGTACCCCAAATTTGAAGTAGGAGGACCGACCAAGCATCTTTTTCCATCTCCTGGTTCCTAAAATCGATGCCATATACACGTCCCCTGATAGGGGACGTAACAGGGATTAAACTGATAGGAATAATACTACTTAACACACCTTTTAATAACGCAGAGAGAGGCAACGCAGAGAGAGGAGTCTGAAGAAGAGGAGTCAGAGGAGGAAGGTGGCTTTGAGGAGGTGGAAGACCAAACACAGCAGGCGTCCCAGGGGGCTTGTTGTCACCTTTCGGGGACCCTTGGTGTTGTACGTGGCTGGGTGGAGGAAGAGACCTTCAATGACATCAGTGAGGACAAGGAGCGGGACATGGCTAGCTTGGTATCCAACCTTGTGCAAATGGGGAGTTTGCGGTTGTGCAAATGGACTGTTTGCGGTTGTGCAAATGGACTGTTTGCGGTGCGTTAAACGGGGAGTTTGGTCTGTCACTGTGAAGCGGGCGTAACCCTTACACTACCTGATCGATACAACATCATACAGTAGGTCCCCCCTCATTATTTTTATGGCCCCCACCCACCGCTCATGGGTGGGGGCGGGTGGGAGGACAGTAGGTCCCCCCCCATTGAGATTTATGGCCCCACCCACCGTGCAGGGGTGGGGGCCAGGGGGGAGGACAGTAGGTCCCCCCTTATCCTTATTTACTGAATATTCCCCTGTATAACAATGTTTGGCATTTAGTGAATATTCCCTATTCTGCTCTGTGTCAGTGTGTATCAGGGATCCTTAGTATAGGTGTCAATCCATATCTGCCAAGTGACCCTATGTAGGGGGAACAGTCCCTATTCTGCTCTGTGTCAGTGTTTATCAGGGATCCTTAGGATAGGTGTCAATCCATACCTGCCAAGTGACCCTATTTAGGGGGAACAGTCCCTATTCTGCTCTGTGCCAGTGTTTATCAGGGATCCTTAGGATAGGTGTCAATCCATATCTGCCAAGTGACCCTATGTAGGGGGAACAGTCCCTATTCTGCTCTGTGTCAGTGTGTATCAGGGATCCTTAGGATAGGTGTCAATCCATACCTGCCAAGTGACCCTATGTAGGGGGAACAGTTCCTATTCTGCTCTGTGTCAGTGTTTATCAGGGATCCTTAGGATAGGTGTCAATCCATATCTGCCAAGTGACCCTATGTAGGGGGAACAGTCCCTATTCTGCTCTGTGTCAGTGTGTATCAGGGATCCTGAGGATGGGTGTCAATCCATATCTGCCAAGTGACCCTATGTAGGGGGAACAGTCCCTATTCTGCTCTGTGTCAGTGTGTATCAGGGATCCTGAGGATAGGTGTCAATGCATATCTGCCAAGTGACCCTATGTAGGGGGAACAGTCCCTATTCTGCTCTGTGTCAGTGTGTATCAGGGATCCTGAGGATAGGTGTCAATCCATATCTGCCAAGTGACCCTATGTAGGGGCAACAGTCCCTATTCTGCTCTGTGTCAGTGTGTATCAGGGATCCTGAGGATAGGTGTCAATCCATATCTGCCAAGTGACCCTATGTAGGGGGAACAGTCCCTATTCTGCTCTGTGTCAGTGTGTATCAGGGATCCTGAGGATAGGTGTCAATCCATATATGCCAATTGACCCTATGTAGGGGGAACGGTCCCTATTCTGCTCTGTGTCAGTGTGTATCAGGGATCCTGAGGATAGGTGTCAATCCATATCTGCCAAGTGACCCTATGTAGGGGGAACAGTCCCTATTCTGCTCTGTGTAGTGTGTATCAGGGTCTCTGAGGACAGGTGTGAATCCATATGTCAAGGTGTCAATATGTCATATGTCAGGTGTCAATCCATATCCATTGTGATTTAGGAATGTTAGGTGATTTATGCCCTTTATGGATTAAGACCAGACTCTGCATCAACTGTGTAATTTTCCATGGGAGTTTTGCCATGGATCCCCCTCCGGCATGCCACAGTCCAGGTGTTAGTCCCCTTGAAACAACTTTTCCATCACTATTGTGGCCAGAAAGAGTCCCTGTGTGTTTTAAAATTTGCCTGCCCATTGAAGTCTATGGCGGTTCGCGAACATTTGCGGCAGTTCGCATTCGCCGTTCGTGAACCGAAAATTTCGTGTTCGCGACATCACTAGTGCTGACCCTCAGTTCCGTATTTCGAGCAGCCTGAATGAGGGTTCATGACAGCCCACAGCTCAGCCCCCACTGAAGGAATGCTTAAGGTTGAGGTTACACACTTGCTTCGAGTCATACTGATGCATACCTGCAATGGACACTGTCGTAGGCTGAAAGCGGTCAGCTGACGCTCTCATCCAATCACAGCCACCCATTGGTACTCAAGGCGATGATCCTCAGTAGCCCAAGATGCACAGCGGTGATGGTTTGCTGGGGACTCTTATGCAGGGCCGAACTGGCCCACCGGGATACCGGGAAATTTCCCAGGGGGCCGTCGGCACCTGGGGCTGGGGAGACATTTGGGTGACCTGTGGCTGCAGGGGGAGCTCTTCTGGTGGCCGTAGGGGGAGCTGGCTGTTCTGTCTCTGCTCCCCCGCCCTCGCGGACTACTTAATTAGACCGGGGCTGAAATATGACGTCATATTCCATCCCCGGTCTCATTAAGCTGCGCTCGATGGCGGGGGAGCAGAGACAGAACACACAGCTTCCCCTGCGGCCGTCAGAAGAGCTCCCCCTGCGGCCACCATCCAAGCTCTCCCTGCGGCCCCCAGCACACCTATCTGTCTGCCCACCCACCCACAGGTAGCAACAAGTATGTATGTCAAATTCAAAAAGAGAAGTACTGCGCTCACTTCCATCACCACTGGGCTGGCAGCAACGACTACAGTACACATCAGCCCCAATATATAGTAAAAACCAAAGAAAATAAAAAGTTACCTGCGCTCTCTCCTTAATCCCTACGTATATTTAGACATATGGAGGTCATTTGGTTGCTCCAATGGCCATTGGATGGAATGCCCGCCTGCCAACGTCAAGGCAGACCCCCCCTAAGCGGGTCCTACACTGACCCTTCAGCCTGCTTCCTTGAGCTTCTGGCAAAAGATATCTCTAATGAGACAGAGAGGGGTATTTTTTTTATATACACCCCTATATACTTGTTAACCCTTAATAGGGAACACATGGGATGGGCAGCAGCATTGTAACAATGCTGTGTGATACAAACTAAATACAAATACAAAAAGAGAAGTCCTGCACTCAGTCCCATCACCACTGGGCCGGCAGCAACGACTACAGTACACATCAGCCCCAATATATAGTAAAACCCAAAGAAAATAAAAAGTTACCTGCACTCTTTCCTTAATCCTTGTCAGTGGGAGTGTATGTGTGTGTGTCTGTGTCATGCTGTGTGTGTGTCTGTCTGTGTCATGATGTGTGTGTGTGTGTCTGTGTCATTGTGTGTGTGTGTGTCTGTCTGTGTCATGTAATGTGTGTCTGTGTCACGGTGTGTGTGCGTCTGTGTCTGTGTCACGGTGTGTCTGTTTCATGGTGTGTGTGTGTGTGTCTCATGGTGTGTGTGTCATGGTGGGTGTGTGTGTGTCTCATGGTGTGTGTGTCATGGTGGGTGTGTGTGTGTGTCTGTCATGGTGTGTGTGTGTCTGTCTGTTTCATGGTGTGTGTGTGTGTCTGTCTGGTCATGTAATGTGTGTGTGTCTGTGTCACGGGTGTGTGTGTGTGTCTGTGTATGGTGTGTCTGTATCATGGTGTGTGTCTGTCTGTGTCATGGTGGGTGTGTCTGTCTGTCTGTCATGGTGTGTGTGTGTGTGTGTGTCATGGTGTGTGTCCGTGTCATGGTGTGTGTATGTGTGTCTGTCTGTGTCATGTAATGTGTGTCTGTGTCACGGTGTGTGTGTGTGTCTGTGTCACGGTGTGTCTGTATCATGGTGTGTGTGTGTCTGTCTGTGTCATGGTGTGTGTGTGTGTGTCTGTCTGTCATGGTGTGTGTGCATCTGTCTGTGTCATGGTCTGTGTCATGGTGTGTCTGTCATGGTATATGTGTGTGTCAAGGTGTGTGTATGTCTGTCATGGTGTGTGTGTGTCTGTCATGGTATGTGTGTGTCTGTCATGGTGTGTGTCTGTCATGGTATATGTATGTGTCATGGGGTGTGTGTGTGTCTGTTGTGGTGTATGTGTGTGTCTGTGGGTGTTTTTAAAAATAGTGTTTTTACATTTTTTTTTCCAACGTCGTGCTGGCCTCCCCTCAACTGGCCCTGCCTCTATGACTGAGATCATCAAGCTTGATGATCTCAGCCAATCCGCACTGACACAGGAAGCGCCTCTAGTGACCATCTGAGTGTCTGTCACTAGGAAGCAATCTAAACACTGCCTTTTCTCTGAATGAAAAGTCAGTGTTTACATTGAAAAGCCTGCAGGGACAGGCTATAGACACCAGAACCACTACATTAAGCTGTGTGTGTGTGTGTGTGTGCGCGCCTGCTAGTGAGTGTGCTTGCTTGCAGGTGTGTGTGTGTGCCTCCTAGTGAGTGAGCTTGTATTTTTATGTCAATGAGCTTATGAATATCAGTGAGATTGTTTGTCTATGAGGCTGTGTATCAATGAGCTTGTGTGTGTCAGTGAGATTGTCTGTGTCTGCATGTGAGTATGCTTACTGTACAATTAAACGTTTTACTCTAAAAGGACCAATATTTTATATTAGAAAAAGCAATATATATTTTACATATATATATATATATATATATATATATATATATATTACTCAATCATCTGGGGTGGCAAAACATAGCCTTACATATTACATGCGACAATATATGGCGCAAGGACTTATGGGGCTGGCATAGATTTTTTTCCAGGGCTGCTTTGTATCCCCAGTCCGGCCCTGCTCTTGTTTAACATTAAAGCATTAAAAACTGTGTAATGCTGAAGGACAGTGCTAGGGACTCCAGGCACTATAACTACTTCTGTGAGATGAGGCAGTTACAATAGGTACAAGGTCCCTTTAAGTACACAATCACTGTTAACAAAAGTGGAATATACATATTTAAAATATTTTTCTTTTACTTTGCTATCAAAAGTGAGGTACAATATCTTAGGTAATGTACTGCATGATCTTCCACTACAGAGAAATGAGAGAGTTCCCTCTTAACGTGTTTGCGTCTGACATCCAGACGATCCTACCTGTGAGGGATCAGTAGTCAATACTTCGGTATTCTCAAGCAAAATTTAAAGGTGAGAAACTGTGTGATTTAGGGAAATTAATATCAGCTTTCCATACCAACCAAATAAAACAGACGGTAGGTTTTAAAGCGGCACTGTCATGCCGAACTTACCTTTCCTCAATCTCTTCCTCTTCTCCCCCTCTCTCAGGATCTGTTATTCTTTTCTTCCTGTCTTCTTTAGTTTTCTATAAAATCATAAGACAAAGTAGGGACTCTTTGCCTTATAGAGGATTCCTCCGCTTGACCAGCGGAGGAGCAAAGTGTGCTTCATTTCTGCTGGTCAGAGCAATTTTCCCATGATCCTTACCTTCCCTCTGTGTTCCCACGATGCTTCCTGTCACTTTCCACAAAACTGCCGAATTGCGTTCTAACTGAATGACAACAGTATGTTCGTTTCTTTTAGAACGCAATTCGGCATTTTATTCGGATCGGAATTTCATTCTAATGAATGAAACTCTGATCCTATTCATTGCTGTGGCTGCATTTTGCAGCCGCTTAGTAGATAACTCCCTAATTCCCACGGTATCAGGGAGCTATCTACAAAAAGGCTGAAAGACCTAAATTGGTCTAACAGCCAACTTTACTAATACTAAGTAAAGATTACTTAGTATTAGTAAATAATATGCCCCTACTCGCTATATCGCGAGTAGGGGCATGTGTAGTAAGCAGTGAGCAGCTTATAGCTGCTCACTGTAAAAAAAACAAAAAAAAACTAATAACCCCCCCCCGCCTGTGGGGGCCCTAAATAAAGATGGGGGGGACCTACTGTCCTTCCCCCCTGGCCCCCACCCCTGAGCGGTGGGTGGGGGCCCTAAATAAAGATAGGGGGGGACCTACTGTCCCCCCCTGCTCGTTGGGTGGGGGCCCTAATAGAACAATAAGGGGGGGGGGACCTACTGTCCTCCCCCCCTGGCCCCCACCCCTGAGCGGTGGGTGGGGGCCCTAATAAAACAATAAGGGGGGGGACCTACTGTCCTCCCCCCCTGGCCCCCACCCTGTAAGAATATTAAATAGTTAACTTGTTTATATGTATTTTATGCTTTTATAAGGTTTATAACATGATTATTGCTGACTGAAGGGATATTGAATACTTACATAATATGCTGACTGTGACAGACTAAGGTATTTCTTCTATAGGATGTAAGACAATGCTAAATTTCAGGATGTCTTGCCTATTCCGATTTTAAGGATATTCTTTTCCAGACGTATGCAAAAGCTTATCTTTCCATTGTCAGAATAACGTAATACAAGGAAGTAATAAATCTTATAGTCTGTACTGTAATGAATGGCATATACCATGGCTAATGTAAGCAAACTATGTATAAAAGCCAGCTCTGGAATACACTCATTTGAGAGTCTTGTAAAGCTGTTGTCCGTGTGTTATTGCTTACAAATGATTCTCCATCAACGTTGATTATGGTGACCGAGAGATCGAGAACCGAGGGGATTAGAGTCCATTACAACATTAACCCTTTCAGCTTGGTGTCTAGAAGTGGGATAGAAGTTGGATCAGCAAAACCATTGCGGTGAGTAGCCTTTTTGTGTCTTATTTGACGCTGATTGTCTATGACCCCCCTTTGGTTCAGTAAGTCTGTATCCAGTAGATAGGAAAGGTGTAAGGACTCTAGTTATATTGAGACTATAAGAGGTCTCCGGTTTATTATAGGGTTTTGGTAACCCAGGTTAGTATCTAAGATAGATACAGGGTATCTCAGGTAGATACAGGTTTTTGAGACCATAAGAGTCTCCGGTTTATTAAGTCTATAGGTGTTCTGAGCAGCACAGTTTGTAGATCTTTAAGTATAACCCAAACTTCTCTTTCTCCCGGTCACCTTTGTTTGTCTTAAGTGTTTTTTTTTTGTGGGTGATTGTTTGTCTATATTGGGGACACACTTTGGTAAGTTAGTAGTGTCCCCACTCTGAGTCAGCAGTATGGGAAATGTGAGTTCATGTCCTGAGTGACCAATATATGTATGTATATATGTGTATATGTATGTATATATGTGTGTGTATATGTATATGTGTATATATAAGATAGCAGTACTTTTAAACAAATGGAGGTTTTAAAAATACATAGGGATTAAGGAGAGAACGCAGGTAACTTGTTTTTCTTTGGTTTTTTACCATATATTGGGGCTGATGTGTACTGTAGTCCTTGCTGCTGCCCAGTAGTGATGGGAGTGAGCGCAGGACTTATCTTTTTGCAAGATAGCAGTAATGTATATTAGAAAATAAATGACTCACAGGTTGTACCTGATAGACCTACTTAAATCTTTTTACTTTATTCTTTCTGTCGCATAGAAGTATAAGTTTATTACTCTGTTTTATTGTAAGTTATTTCACATGGGATCTGTGTGCCTGGAATGATTGTTGCTTTAAAAATACTATAAGCCCACTACACTTATTATGAGAGTGGGATAGTGTAAATGTGTTACATTGTTTGCATGATGAGCTCAGTATATTTTATAACTGAGACAAAAAGTCACATCATTAGTATTTGAAAGTTAATTCCCCATATGGGATTAATTGTATAGAAACACCAATCAGCACATCTTCCCTGCCCTGTGTGTTTGTTGCAGAGGATCCATACTGTAAATATAATTTTTGTTTGAAAATAAGAGAGCAACATTTACATTTTCAGCGGTCCAACACATGCTTTATTTTGCACTGTAAACTAACCTTTTATTGCAACAGGTTCCTTTTAAATGATCCAGTGTAATAACTACTGCTTGTGTCTTCTATGTCTCACATTATGTGTTATTTTAAATTGTGGTATATAGCCTGAATCAGAAATCATGGACAAAGGTTTTTACCTGTGTTACTAAAGGCTCTTGGAGACTGACCGGTCTAAAGGTTTGCCATGCCTTTAAAACATGGTATAGTATAAATTTTTTAAGTCTCTGAGAGTTCTGAAAGATTCAGGTGAAACCATGTCTGTTTAATCTGGTCCAGATGTTTGTTCAATTTCTATAAGATTTAAGTTGATGCAGCATCATCTCAGATTAGTTAATGGTAGTTTTAGACAAATAGTTGAGTTATGAGCGCGCTATATAAATGGATCCTTTCTTTAAATACAATACTATAGTAGATTAAAGTAATGAAGTTAATTAAGAAAATGTATACATAAGAATCCCTAAAATAAATCTAAACTAAAATTGGTATACCTTCCAATAATATGTTCTGAATACAGCTGTTAACTGTTTATTCTGTGTAAATGGTGATTGTGATAATGTGTGATAAGTGTGCAGTTTAACTTGAAAGTGGTTTAATGTATATGTTGCTGTATTATTTTAAATTATATGTGAATCAGTTTGTCACAGTCTAGTGATACTGATAAGAATGACAGCCAAATAACCTAGCAAATAACTGTTTTATTAGTTGTTGAATACTAGCGTTTTGGCCAAGAATAGTTGGAGATTTGGAGGTGTTAGTTTAAGATTGCTTTTATATTGTGTCTATCCGTGTTTCCTAGGAGGGACACAGAGTGTGTAGTTGTGTGCCCATAAATGTGATTTCTGTATTGGCATATCTGCTGGGTACCCATTATGTGTTTCTACAAAGATATTGTTTTATGAGATGACTAATATTACATTGGATGCTGAGTATGAGTTATATGGTTTGAAATGAATTGGTGATTATGAGCTTAGTACTTCAGTAAGATGTGCTAAAATTTGGAACAAGGTGGAAGCTGAAATGTTGGGATTATGGAAGAATAGGTAGTCTATATTCACTGCTTTGGCATATAAGCAAGATGCAAAGGAAGAGATTGGTAATATGATTTTTGTAAATAAATTTTACAAGTGTTGGAAGGATGAGGCAGGTTTGATGTCTGGAGATGATATAGATCTTTTTAAAATACAGTCATGCCTTGGTAATATGTTGCCACAGTATTCTTTGCTTGTGAAACAATTGATTTCAGACTGGGCCAATTTGGATAGCTCAGAGTTTCTTACCAAGGTTATAGAAAAGGAAAATGCAGGTTGTTTTGAATTAAGAAAAGATTTAGGAAAGTAAGGTTGCTTATTATGCTCAGGGATTGCAACACTGTCCAGCTACACAGGCTGAGAGCGAGGATGGGATGGAGCACATAAAGCCCGTGGAAGGGGTGGTCAAAGAGGGGCAAGGGGATGGAGACAGGGAAATCAGGGTTATAGGGGTAACCAAGGAGGAATAGACAGGAACACTTGTTTCAACTGTGGCCAATATGGCCACTGGAGGAATGAGTGTCCACACCCCAGGAAACCCCAGGAAACCCCACACACCCCAACAACCCCACCTTTCTCAAAATATGCCCGGTAGGCAAGAACAACACCAGACCCACTCCCAACACCACTGGCCAGCATATCGCTTAGTTCAGGACTTTAGAGCCCTGAATAGTTTAATTGTGCCCATTTCACCCATTGTCCCTGATATGACATCCCTCATTACAGCCATTCCACATGATGCCACTTGCTTCACTGTCATTGATTTAAGTAATGCATTTTTTCTATACCTATTGATCAAGAGACACAGCTACTTATGGTTTTTACTTTTGAAGGCTGTCAGTTTACCTGGACACGCTTACCCAAGGCTATGTGGATTCCCCAGCTGTTTATTCGCTGGTACTCCAACATACTCTAAAAAAAACAAAAACATGGACCACCGGTCATGGTTCCGTCCTTTTTGCAAAATGTTGATGATTTGTTGTTATGTAGCCCTAGCTATGAGGCAAGCACTGTGGATACTGTCAGCAACTGTAGGTCACAAGGTTGTTAAACACAAAATGCAATTGTGTAAATCAAAGGTTGAATACTTAGGTTTTGTTCTGGCTTCAGGCACCAGACAATTGAGTCCAAAACGTATTGAGGTCATTCAGAGGATTCCTACACCCACTACTCGGAAGGAGTTGCTCACCTTCCTCGGCATGATTAATTACTGCCGCCAATGGATCCCTGAATGCTCCCATTATAACTCAATCCTAAGGGAGGCTGTACGTTCTGACAGCCCTGAAAATGTCTGCTGGTCACCAGACATGCTATCTGCATATATTGCCCTTACAGTTGTTATTGTGCAAGCTCAGGCTTTAGGACTACCTGTGTATTGTAAACCATTTCATTTGTATGCTCGGGACAACTGTAAAACCATGGCCGCGGTCTGTGCACAAGAGCAAGGAGGCGGTATGCGTCCCATAGCATTCTTTTCCAAAGTAGTTCGAGCTCCGGTACAGGGTATGCCGGCGTGTCTCAGAGCATTGATAGCATGTGCAATGGCTGTTGAAACTGCTACTACTATCACACTAGGGCATCCTACAATACTTTATGCCAGTCACCAGGTCACTCAGCTGACAAATCTCACCACACAACACATGACAGCCCAGCGCTTCAGTGGTTATGAGATTCTTTTTTTTTTTTAATACCCAGAATCTGTCTTTTGGATTAAATAAGGTTTAGAGAAAGATCAAAATGATCTGTTCTCTAAAGAGGGGAGAATAGGCATACTTGAAGAATAGGCATACTTGAAGCAAGCTGATTTATTTTCATCAGTCAGGCACATAGCAAGCACCATTCAATTCTTCATGAATTCATTTTATATTAGGAATCTCAGGCAGCATGTACAGTCTTTTGTAAGATCGTGTGAACACTGCTCTTTTTACACACTTACAGATTGATTTTATTCATGTATCCAAAATTGGTAAGAAACAGCAATACTTACTGGTCATAGTTGATCAGTTTAGTAGATGGCATGAGGCCTTTGTGACATCTAGGGAAGATGCTAGTGAAGATTATTGTTACTGAATTTATTCCCAGGTATGGCTGCCCTCTGCAGATTGGCTCTGATAATGGCCCGGTATTTGCAAGTAGGGTTGCCCAGGAACTTGCTAAATTCTTGCAAGTTACCTGGCAGTTTCATATACCCTATCATCCACAGAATACAGGGTAGTTGAAAGGATGAATAGGACTATTAAGGAAAAGCCCAGAATTTACCCAGGAACATGGGTAAATTGGACTAAATATCTACCAGCTATTTTAGCTGAGATAAGAATATATCCCCACAAGGTGAATTGTTGATAAAACCGAATGGTATGTATGACAATGTTTCTTCGCAGTTTTCCCTTACCTTCACAGGAACCTACTCATTCATACCAGCCCGGTGACAAGGTGTATATCCGTCAGTTGAACAGGACCAAGAAAGGAGGATACCCTTTTGGACCACCTGCTACTGTGATTGCTGTACCCAGAACCGCTGTCCACAGATTCCCACAACATCTGGATTCATGCATCCCGAGTGAAGCTGTGTCCAAAGAGGGGAACCAAGGAAGACAACACCACTCCTCGCTCGGAAACAGAAGAATTTCTCCTCAGCGAAGCATCATGGCTTTCACACCGTATCGTAGATTGAGAGGATCATACGTACCTGAGACCAAGATTATGTTGTGTGCTATGCTTTCTGGAGTTGTTATACTCCCTCTGATATTGTTCCTTGAATGCCATTATGAGTACAAGTCAATGGCAAGTTCTGGAAAAAGACTCTGACATGATGAACAACTCTTCAATACCCCAGCCCAATTAGGCCTTAGCCCCTCATCTAGCATTCGTCACACACACCCCCTCAAGAACCTTTCTCCACCACCTTTCTATCAGCATGCAATATGCAATCATTCATTCACTGAACGCATTTGGATGAATTGGACAAATAGTAACCCTTATAAGTACCAGTTACCCATATGAAATGTGTCTACAGCTAATGAAACCGATGCATTATGTTTGTTTAAAGGTTCACAGAAAATTGTTAGATCTTATAACGCAGAAATGTGCACAGTTAAGGTTGCATATCAATGTAAACAGACAGGCCTTATTACTTTTAATAATGATTATATAACTGGTATCATTAATTGGAAAAAGGGACAAATGTTAGTCATTATGAACGACACTACAATTGAGAACTATACACTACCTTATATTTTTACACCTTATTACTGTCCTTTATCCTCTACCATAGAACCAAAAGTCAACAACGACACACACACACCTATTCCGTCCACATTTATTAATACAACTGCCTTCTTACAAGCTGTACATGTGTCATTAAAAATCACTACTCCTGTTGTAACATTATGTAACACAACAAACAAAGGCAGAAAAGGGAATGGTATGACACACTGTTAGGAGGTGCTGGAACCACTATGGGTATACTAAATAGTTATAGATATGGAGACCCTCAAGAATAAGTTAAATACAGCCAGTATGCATATAGGGACTGGTTTCCATGCTACTGCAAACTGGGTTCCAACTGTTGTTAAATCACAGGTTACAGGATTGGATTTAGATAAATCAATGTATAATTATTTAGATAATTTAACTGTTGCAACTATGAAATTCACTACAGGTCTAAGTAACTGGAGTACTTGTGCCATCAGGTATTTATGGATACAACAACAAGGATTGGCATTAGAAAACACACTAATGATTCCTAAACTAGAGAAGATTAGAGGAATGCTTAACCTCACAGATAATGAATGGTTACTTCTAAAACCCCAATCCACTAAATGCAATGGATGGTTAACTGGTAATGTTTCACATTTTTCATGCTCATGTTATTTTACATTATATCATACATCATCAAAGGATGTTAAATTAGCTTGTCAATTTAACACATTACCAGTACCAGTTTATGATCTTTTTGCCAAGAATTTAACTTGGTGGGCACCCACATACACAGGGGACTATATTTTTCCCA